GACGATATACTGTGGCTTCATTAGCACCCGACACGAACCATCAAATCAGAACGGCGTTCATGACTACTTGGTCCAACGCGTTCGGTCCAAACCGAAGGCTCCAGCCCTGGTTGAGGGTGATCTGACCAAATTTACAATCACAACCAAGAGAATGCGCATTATCCCGGCGAATTTAATAACCGGCTACATCGCATTGGACAATAACATGAACTCTGTAGCAGTTCTCATGGCTGACTATAACTTCCACCCTCCAGGATACCGCATGTTCGCATTTGAGTCAGTTGCCCAACAGGACGCCTTTGTTGCCTATTTGGACAAAATTCTGGACCAAACACTTGCCTTCTTGCGCAGTCAACCAGATGTGGTGCATGAGACCATCACAATGGAGAAACTGCGGATCGATGAGAACAACCGACAGCAAAGCAACATGCGGCAGGAGGAAGAACCAAATGGAATAATTGGTGAGCTTCCGAGGGTTCGTCCCAGGTTGACCCTCTATAGTCCAAGACATAAGCGAAACTCTCGACACAGCATAGCCTCCAGCGTGTCGCAAATTGAACTCTGTAACACGAGGGACCGACCACCAAGACGGGAATACTATTATTATCGACCCCTCTGAGCTAACAGCTGGCGCTTCAATCAACCCAGAAATGTACATTGACTTGCAAACGTTCCATCCGTGTAGGTTTCTATTCCCACAGCAGTGTGGTCAAAGCTAAAACGCTGTGGTCAATGGACATCACCAGAAGCATTATTTTCAGTTCATGGGAATAAGGGATAAAACAAGGGTAACCCTGCTCAACTGCCTGTTATACAAATTAATATGTGAAATTATTATTACTTATTCAACTGAGACAACATCAGAACTGAAATTAACGGCTTGTTTTTCTGTTTACATCTGGGTAGGAAAGCATTGGCTTGTAGCAAGGAGATGTTTATGTAAGGTATCGGAACGTGTTTTCAATCAAGTGTACACAAGCGTGTCTGTGTCAGAAGATAAACAGGGTCTGACAGATGAAACCCAGTGTTTTAATCGCTCACCATGAATAGTCTCTGATTTATTAGGTTTTATGATTATTTTCATCAACTTGTATAAAAAGCCCGGATTTATATAAAGTCAGTGGTATTTCTGCAGAGTCGATTTTGTATAAATACGTTTCCAGAAACTTTTCCAATTTCCGAATAATTTTGAACCCGACCTACTGTTAGACTTGCATTCAGGGTTTCCAAACTACAAACCGTATATTTTTCCCGTAGAGAAAACCATACATTTATCTACGGCATTAAAAGGAGATCATATGCGATTCATTAAATTTAGCAGTGGATTTGAACCCTATTGTTAAGTTAACAAGCCATATTGAAAAATCCAGAGACATGACGTTTTATAAACGGCAATTTCACGGTATCGAAAATGTCACAATTAGAAATCTTTTAAAACCGAATTATAGCATTTCTCCAAACATAAAATTGAAATAGGACGTCATTTTCTACCGAATGAGCAAAGAGAATGAATGTATAAATGACTGTTTCCATGAAATATTACTGAATCTTCAAGGTCATCGAAAATCAACGATAAAAATGCATGCTACCCAAGTAGTCATTTTTTACAGAACATAGTTTGCATGCAGCCGGAAGGACGTTCGTTCTAAAACCGGCATCTACAGCTAAGTGAATTATTATACAATTATTCTCCACGAAGATTCGTTTTACAACACAACTTAATTATTCTTTTCAAAACAAAAAGGCATTTCGGAATGTGGGTCGACATTTCATGAGTTAGCCCACCTACTGTTTATATTAATACGTGCGCGTCTATTCTAAATTTCACTTCCTAGGTTGCCTGATTTCCAACATATACCTATGTATTGTAATATGCGCATCCCAAGAAAGAAAATTTGAAGAAAATCAGTCTTTCGTGAAATTTAGCAATCTTTATTTCGTAAATTTTCGTCTCCTATCCCACAGACCGTCGTCAGACGTGCAGTAAGTGTAAAAAACAGATACTTTTTAAAAACGCCTTAAAAATCGATAATGCCTTGTCGTTTCTGCCAGTAAGTCGATTCTGTAGGATGACATAATGTTTTGATTTGCCATTGCCTTCTTCGTTTTCCATTGGGATTTATGCTTGCACACCGTAGGGAGAAAGTTGACTACCTCGATAGAAACGGTGCTGCCTATGACATCCCATGCGTCATTTCTGATACCACCCTTTTGTGGAAAACTGGGAAGTTTGTCTCAACCCGTGTAAAAAAACATCGGTCAGTAGTAAAGTGACAAGAAAATCTATCCCAGCTGGACAATGGGCACGAATTTGCCTGGGAAAACACTCACATTGTTGGCGCCCTCCCAAAAAGAAAAAAGTCATGAATTCCTGGGAAAAATGCAGTGAAATGAGGCATGTATCAGCTGGCATATGGATACAGATGGCACAAAGAGATTTCTCAGAGTCAAATTCCGGCATGCACAGTCAATGCCGAAGTGGTGATTAGATGCAACAAACGTGTACGGGCGCTGACAGCAGCCAACCGTATAATCCTTGTTTAGCCACGGGTAATAAGTTAGAAAGGTGGGTAGTTATGTAGGCGCTATCATTGAAAATTTTCACAAGCATAGTCATATTTTTCGCAAACAACGTCATCGTTTTCTTATATATGTATTTGTTGTCTAACTCTTCGATTCCAATTCCCAAGGTCATACTCAGACGCAAAAGGGGAGTAAGCGTGTCAGAAAATTAACATTTTCCGTGCGGTTACAAAATCGACACTTGTTTGACATTTGCAGCCACCGTGCCTGTCTGTCTGTTCTGATTACCTTTCGTCTCTTCCGTACCTCCCAAATATTTCCGTACGCGGTATCTAATTCGATATGTCGTTTAATGCGTGACTCATCTAATTACACGACCTGGAGGAATTCTCAGTATTTTTGATAGCGCAGACAATGAAAATATGAGATTTTCCCCAAGCGAAGGTTTGCGCTTTGTCCAAGGTATGCACGGCTGTTCGGGACAGATGGTCTAACCTGTTTACTCCAAATTGGCGCTCGTGAATGCGTACAGACGGGGATTTTCCAGTTCAACCACGGTAAATGATATCACATGGGATCTTGTTGAGCACGTCTTTTTTGTTGACATTGCTTACCCTATTAATAGGGTATTAAATCTCAGTGCGTTAAGTAATCGTCGGTTTGTGTGCCACCTAAATTTGACGCTCCCTTATGTCTCTTTTAACGCGTTCAAGCATATTTTTAATGTAAGAATGCCGTCCGCAGAGTATTTGGCATGAGCTTCTGATTGTACCCAACTGGTCCCTTTTCCTTTGACCCCTGCTGTCTACTGAATCAGCGTAAAAAATTATGGGAATCTGTCCTGAAAAAAATAATATACACAAGTAATTTAGTTATACTCTGTAGCCTTCTTCGTCAGAACAATGTGTTTGTTGACAACACTGCATTTGTGAAAGATAGGTTGATCGCCCCCATGAGCTAGAACGATTTTCGCACAAGTTTCTTTGCGGTTCACCGATGTGCGTAGTGTTTCGTTAGTCGTTCTCTGTATGAGCGCATCCGGCAACAGGGATTTAATGTCCTATTCTTTTTTGAGCGTGAATTTAACTCCCAAATTCGTTGCGTTGATAGTGCTATGGATCGTTTCATTCTGGTTATTTTAACGGCAACAAATCCGACGTTGGCATATCGCAGCCACAATTTACAGTTAACAAATGAGATATACAGGACCTGTAGTCTATGCTCTGTGAATTCTGTGAGAAAAGTACGGACGGGTGACTTCATAGGAGCTCCTTTCAGATGCTGGTGGCATTTTTGGTCGAATACCAAGTTGGTTTTCAAACATAGGTCTATGAGTTGAAGTACGGCTTTTGCAGTAATATCTATGTCGTACGACTGAAGGAGGTCATCAGCGGAAGTTACGATTCCTTCTAATATTTCTAATTTCAAAATTTTTCGTAAGCGGGCAAAGCTTGCTGGATTGGCATTTTGAAATAGCATAGTTTTGTGCACCGTTGAATGATGATATCTGCGTCTGAGTATGACCTTGGGTATTGGAGTCAAATATCTAGAAAATTAAATTCCTTTTTTAATATCATATTTGACTTTAGTTACACACCTTCGGATGCCTACATTCCACTGTATATGTGTATATTCATTGGGTAGACGCGTACCCTAAAAATACTATTTTTATAACAAGCAAGTAAGTTCAGAAAATTTATACATGTTTTACGCTGGCTTGCCAGGCCGTCATCAAGAGTGCGGTAAATGTTGCATAATCAGTCAAAGTTTAAGTGTGCGTGAAGTAAATCTATTGCTCTGTCATTCCTATCAATGAGCAGTTGCTGGCGTCCGGCTTCTCTTGCGGATTGGCTGTAGCCTTTCCCAGTTTTACTTGAGATCATTGTAAATGGCGTCTAATTTAATTTGCCACCTAATGCACGAGTCACCACAGTGAGTGGCATTCAGGATTTTTTGACTAGACACAAACGATGCAAGGTTTTGTACCATGCAAATTTTTAATTTCGTCTTTTTCCTGACAATTGGTGCTCATGTTCACATGCGTAGGCCGATGGCTGGGTTCCAATACAGTACCTTACATTTCAGTCATCTCATAAAGTATTGTAGTAAGAACCTTCCTTATCTGTATAGCCAACCCTTTCCGTAGGGCATACAAGTGGGGTGCGCAGTTTAGTTATCAGTTTGTGCGCCACTTGTATCTGCTTCTTTTTGCGGTATCTTTTAACGATTCCGAAGACATTCTTAAGGTAGACATTTATATATACACATATATACATCAAGTAAATCATTTCAGAAATTACTCAGTGTAGGATACCTAGTGAAGTCTCTGGGACATGACTTTTTATGGAGAGAACCAAAATTTCAATGACTACGTGAGTCAAAGACAATCATCTACTGTGGAATAACCACATAATGCCCATTCTACAAACTAGTTACCACAAGTAGTACGAAATGTGTATATCGAACGTCTTATACCGTACTTCCGACATAGGTACAATGAAATTTCGGTTCTGACCCTAAAAAAGTCATATCCCGGAGACTTAATTGCAAGTCCTGCGCTGAGTACTTTCTGAAATTATTCACTTAGTTATTCTCTAGTGTTCATATACTAGAAACCGCAGAGGTAATGCTGGGGACCCACTGATGAGCCGAACCCCTCGCAGCCGTGTCAAGCAGTGGCAGAATGTAGGCGAAACACGTGTCTGGGGTTTTATTTAATATCTGTGTTGGGAATAGGGTTCAGTAACTTTAGCACATATATAGGTATGAATTGAAAGATAGGCAACCCGATAAATATAATTTGAAGTCAAAGGCATTGTTGCGTAAATTTTCGACTCCAGTTCCCCAGGTTGCCGTCAGACACAGACTGAGTACAGATGTGCCGACAGCAGTTAGTATCTGACAGTGCACTTGGAAATCGATACTTGATGGCGTTTGCGCCTGTGAACGATCGCTACCTGGGTCATTATTTCTCGATTGGCTCTCCGCTCATCCATTTCTCCTTGAGAATTTTGTAAGCGCCGTCCAATTCGATATGTTGATTGATGTACGATTAATCCTAGTGCGTGGTGTCGAGAAACTCGGCCTTTCTTGAAAGGGTATATATGCATAGTAGGTGGGCCAACTCATGAAATGTCAAACGAAATTTCGAAATGTGTTCTTGTTTCGAAAAGATTAATTAAGTAGGGTTGCAAAAATAATCATGATGCAGCATACATCTATAATGATCCAGTTACCTCAGGGTGTCGGCTTTCGAATGAACTTCTTTTCGACTGCACCGAAGACCTATACTTTTCAAAAAATGACTACTTAATTAGCATGAAATTTTCTCATGGATTTTCGATGTCCTTGAAAATGCAATTAAATTTCGTGGAAAATATGCAACCAAATGCTCATCTTTGTTTATTTATTCCGAAGAAAATCAGATCTCCCTTCGATTTTATACTCGAAAAAAGGGTATATTTTGGTTTCGAAAAACATTTCTAATTCCCGGATAATTTTGAACCCAATCTGCTGTTACACTTGCGTTCAAGGTTTCAAAACTACAAGTCGTATATTTTCCGTGTAGGGAAAACCATGCATTTCTCTACGGTATTAAAAGGAGACCATATGGGGTTCATGAAATTAAGCAGTGGATTTGAGCAACAACGTTAACTATACAAACAACATTCGTAAATGCAGATACATGACGTTATATGAATGGACACTTCACGGTATTAAAAAATCTCACAATTGGAAACCTTTTTGAAACCGAATTATACTATCCATTCGAGTACGAAATTGGAATAAGACATGATTTTCTACCGAATAAGTAACAGAATGAATAATTTTTTTGCACGCTTTCTGAGAAATATAATTGAATTTTCAAGGGCATCGAAAATCAATGACAGAATTGCATGCCACTTATGTACTCCTTTTTTGAAGACTGTGGGTCTTGCATGCAGTCGAAAATAAGTTCATTCTAAAGCCGTCACCCTGAGGTAACTGAATTTATTATAGAACTATGCTGCATGATGAATAGTTTTGTAACCGTACTTACTTAATCTTTTCGAAACGAGAACGCATTTCGAAATTTCGGTTGACATTTAATGAGTAAGCCCATCTACTCTATCAGGAATGGGCGCACACCGATCTATCGACTGAACGAAGCAACCAAGCTCCGTATGGGTGGCAAAGATTGCGAACACGTAACCAATTACCAGGCCGAATTCGGCCAATTCATAATAGCAGAGAGGAAGGACGACAGAGAATGCGGGTAGATAGATACAGCATTGTTTCGGGCTTATTGTGCCTTTATTCAGCTCGAAACAGTAATGTATCAATCTACCCGCATTCTTTCTAATCCCCCCTTGCTGCTATTATGAATTGGCCGACTTCGGCCTGGTAATTGGTTGCCCGTTCGTGAACTTTGCCACCCATACGAAGCTTGTTTGCTTCGGGAAGCCAATGGATCGGTGTGCGACCATTCCTGAGTGAATAAATACCCGATCTGCAGTGACAGAGAATGGCAGGTGGCGAGGCACTGATGAACTTCGGTTCGATGAAGTGCTTATGACCCATCTGGTAGACCCCAGTGGTGGACCAGCTGCGTCAGGTGCGTCTGGGCGCATGTTTGTGTTTCCGGTACCAGCTGCTCGTGGTCAGGGTTATGATTGGCTGAATGAAGGCAAACAAGCCCGAAACAGTGCTGTATCAATCTACCCCCAGACTCTGTCGTCTCCCCTCAGCTATCATAGCTTAGCCGACTTCGGCCTGGTAGGTGGTTGCCTGTTCGTGACCCCTATCGCCCATACGAAGCTTGTTTGCTTCGGGAAGCCAATGGATCGGTGTGCGACCATTCCTGAGTGAATAAATACCCGATCTGCAGCGACAGAGAATGACAGGTGGCGAGGCATTGATGAACTTCGGTTGGATGAAGTGCTTATGACGCATCTGGTAGACCCCAGTGGTGGATGAAGTGCGCCAGGTGCGTTTGTCGCGCATGTTTGTGTTTTTGGTCATAGTTTTTGGTCAGGGTTATGACTGGCTGAATGAAGGCACAATAAGCCCGAGACAGCACTGTATCAATCTACCCGCATCCTCTGTCGTCTCTCCTCGCTGCTATATATATACGGGAAAAAGAGGCGAGCTCGTGATCCATAGGTTTGATATCCTGACGTTTCAAAAGCAAACAAACTTCCAATTTCGGAGGTGGGTTCTGTACGGCGCCTCACAGTATTATGGATACCGGGCATGCCGGCGTTCTGTCCTTCCCACTGCTATTCGCGCAGGATATGTTTGGGGGGAGGGGGGAGGAGTTAATTACTGTCATGCTTGTCTGTTCTTTCCTTCCTCCCTTGTCAGGGCGCTGTATCGCGATGGAAACGGTAATTGACCTCGTCTGCATTGCACGCATTTGTTGTGCCTGATCCGCGTTTTTCGTAATTATCCGCCGTGTGCGTCTGCCCGTGTGCACCTCAGTGGTTGCTGGCCCGCTGCCTGTGTCGCCTTTCTCATCGGGCTGGTGACCACCGTCATCAGTGATTGGTCGCGAACTGAGTTCACTTGGGTTAGCGTTCCTGACTTCCTGCCTTCGAGCTCGTTGATTGAGCTGCACTCGTAAGGCCTGGTAAGCCGCTGGGAGAATCGTGCAGCGGATGATGGAAGTTGGTATGATGTGCCAGGCTTCGAGCGTTTCCCCTGGCCGTCTGGTCGGTACCTCGGCCTAGGATTTCGGGTCTGTTGCCGTTTTCAGGTCTCTCCAACGTAGATTGCACCACAGGAACAGCATTGGACACGATAGACGATTTTTGCTGTTTCGTATCGTGACAGGGAAGCCTTGGGTCTCATGACGAGACGTCTTATTGACGCCTGAGGTCTGTGGGCGACGCCGATACCCAGTGGTTGTAAGAGAGGAGCGGCTGCTTAGGAACATTCTCGATATACGGTAGCGCCCGCCACACTTTTGGTTGTTCTGTCGTTGGCCTTATAGCTTTCTTTGGTTGCCTGTTACGTTCGATGAAACTGTGAGGGTAACCGTCAGAGATGAACATCCACCAAAGATAATGAAGTTCGGCTCCTTTGTCGACTGTCTCGCTGCAATGCGTTTCCGCTCTCTTGTAAAGGGTTTGCACACAGCTACGTTTGTGGCACAACGGTCGGTTACTGTAGTAACTGAGGACCTGACGTGTTTTGGTGGCCTTTGTGTACACCGTCGTCTCTAGGCTCCCGTCGGTTTTGCAGTGGACCAGGACGTCCAGGAACGCTAGTTGGTTGTTGACCTCTGCCTCCATTCTGAACTGGACGTCCGAAAGACAGAGTTCAGGATCACGTGAAATTAAGAGACCATCTCGCGCTTGAGGATGACTTAGGTATCGCCCACATACCGTGCCCAAAATATTGGTCTGTGATTTGCGAACACCAGCGTCTCTAACTTTTGAAGGACCACCTCAGCATTTAAACCAGATAGCGGCGAACCCATTGAAGTTCCTTTGATTTGCTCATAGATCGTTCCTTCAAGGGTGAAATAGGTCTTGAGGATAAAACTGAACATCTGCATATGTTGCCCTAGTTTACACCTATTGCCTCCACCGTCATGTTGACTATGAAGTAGATGACTTACAGTTTCGAATGCAAGAGTCTGAGGAATTGAGATAAAGAGTGAGGTAACCCGCGTTTGCTCTTCTGCTCACTGAGCTGCGTAGGAGGGCCTGGTAGGCTTCGGGAAAAGTTAGACAGCGGTTGATAGAATTCGCGCCCGTGTGCTAGACCTCGATTGTTTCCCTGGATATGCGGTCATTTCCTCGGCCCAGGATTTCGGCATTCTAGAAGACGAATGCGTGCTCAATGTTCTGCCACCAGAGACAACGGGTCCATTCCCTTTTCTGCCCTCATGTGTTCTCCAACACGAGTGTGCACTCGTCTGCCGGCCTCTCCAATATATTTCACTTCGCATTAGCTGCATTGGATCCGATAAATGACCTTTCTTGTTTCACCGCGTGGCAGAGGGCTCTTAGGTCTCACCATCAGAATTCGAATTGATGACTCTGATAGATGGGCAATGCCGATTCCCAGTGGTCCCGGGAGACGGGAGTCCGCCTCAGAGACGCTGCAAATGTAACGAAGCACCCGCCAGACTTTTGGCCCTTCTGCCACTGAACTTCGGTTTGTCCCAGACTACCTGATGTGTTCTACGAGGTTACGCGGATATCCGTTCTTCATGCAAAGGTGCTGAAGATAACGTATTCCTGACTTTTTTCGTCTGGCTCGCTTTAGTGTGTTTCTGCCCCTCTGCATAGTGTTCGTACACAGCTGCGTTTGTGGGACAAAGGGTGCTTGCTGTGGTAGCGCAGGATTCGGCGCGTATTGATGGCCTTCCCGTGTACCGTTGTTTTTAGGTGCCCATTAGGTTTTCGGTGAACCAGTACATCCAGGAACAGTAGTTGGTTGTTGGTAGAAGGGAGCTCTCTAATCGCATTGCGGAACCCACTGCTCCCGTTGTGCCTTGGGATTCTCTCTCTCGAGCTTAACCGGCAGCCGCACAGCGGGATGTAATATAGGCAGAATGGTATTACTGGCAAGGAAAAGGGAGACTGGAATGTCCTGTTCTGGCTTATTAGCCGTCGTTCGCCAGTCATCCTCAGCCTCATGTGCCAAAATTTACAAGACATCGCTAATATTTTTGAAACCACCCCAAATATAAAAAGTAGAATAAGCATACATCGGTTCGGGTCTAATGGACGTCTGACGTCTTGAGTAATTATTTCTCCCACCCATCTTCTGAGAATAGAAAGTCATTTGTACGGCTCTAGTTATATGGCGCACTTTGTTTGATGCTTGCCCAGCCAGTGCCGCATGCGTGACCGCATCCGACCCTGATGTCACAGTGACCTGAGTCACCCCGCCCACGCCGACCGCGGAGACAATTGACGCGCCCGATTGTTCCGTGCTGTGACTGTCCCCGGCCAAATGCAGCGATTGGCAGTCGGTGGACATCCAGGTTTTTTTTACCTGGCTTGATGTATGATCATTGCCACGACCACGATGTCAACGACGTCAAAGATGAAGATGTGTCCCATTTGCTCAGCGTGGGTTTCTGTCTCCGACTTTGGGTTCAACCTTCGCACGGCCAAGTAGTGCTCGTGCATTCTGGTTTGCAGCCATACACATCCAGCAACTGAACTGAAGTCGGTAGACAACAGCCGACGTCTCCTGTTTAGGGATAGGGTCTTCTGGACATGTCACTTGCCGGCGGATTGTTGAGTCGGGCCTGTGAGCAAGTTCTATTCCTAGTGTCGCAAGGGATTTAGCCACGGCTTTAGAGATCCCTTTCATGTACGGAGTACTCCTCCACAATGTTGGCTGACTATGCTCTTCGTTTTGCCTCTTTTGCTGCATTGGACTCCATTTAAAGAATGCTCGCCGATAGCCTTTGATTCTGAAGAGTTCCTGGAAGAGCTTCACCTCGTTCAATTTGTCGCCTGGCATGCCGGAATGAGTTTTCACCCGTCGGTATAGCCTGCATACACATTTTCGTTTTCGTTGCAATGGGCGGTCGTTGTTGTAACTGAGCATTTACAGCGGGTTTTTCAGTTTTCTGTAGACTGGCATTGCCAGTTTGCCGCCCGGGTTGCGGCAGACAAGGGCCTCCAAGAATGGTTGTTTGTCCTCCACTTCTTTTTTCATCGTGGACCGTAGGTCGGGAATGATCGGATTTATTTGCTCCCCGTAGTAGTTACCTTTATCTCGACCGAGGATCACGAGGGTGTCGTCAACATTGCACGCCCATAACTTGGGTTCGTACTCCTCGAACTGTCGTCTACAGAGTTTTTGCAGAACTGCCTCGGCAATGAGCCCATCAAAGGGTCCTTAATTTGCTCCTATATGTTACCTTCGAAAGTGAAAAATGTTTTGAGGCAGTGCGCCATAAGTTCTATGAGATTCTGAATTGTGGGCTGGCCATCGCCTTCATTTTAATTTTGACGCAACAGCCCGTTGAGCATTTCGATCGCAATATCCTGTGGTGTAGACGGGAGGAGTGAGATGACATCAAATGACACCATCCTCTCATTCGGTTCGATCGTGACCGCCTTTATTTTGTCAAGAAAATGCTCTCTTGAATGCACTGTTGTTTGCAGGCACGCGGTTAAGAATCTTAGCTTCTGCAATTGCCAGTTTACAAGCCTGTATGTGGGTGTGCTTCGTAGTGAGACGACTAGACGGAGGCAACATCTGGCTTGTGCATTTTTGGGAGACCGTAGCATCGTGCCATACCTGTTTCTGTGGGTTTCGTCATATACCCGTCTTTGAGGATGATGATCTTGTCTTTCTTTAGAGTCAGAATTCAGTTTACCCTCACCAGTATTGACTTTAAACTGGCGATATTGCTGACTTTGTAGGGCTCCCGGTCGTTCAAGGGCAGGAGGTCTTTGTTTCGGTAGTCTACCTTATCGAGGATAGCGCTTGACTGGCCTCTGTCAGCAGGCAGAAAAACGAGCTCTGTGTCTGGTTTTAGTTCTCTCGGAGTCATTTTTTCCTCTCCTGGCGGCGAGTGGGTTTTCCGGTACGGCATGGATAACGAGAAGATTAGACGTCTAAGGAGGTCTTTTGCCTCGGCTGTCGCGCCAGTTTGATGTAACATTGGTTCAAAAGAAGCAATGAAGTAGACCGAATTATCGTCCGTTGTGTTAAAACCGGATCTACGTTGTGGAACCCTTGTTTGGGCCACCGTAAGATGTTTCATCTGGAGGTTACGTAATAACGTTCGTTCAAGTTTCTGAGCTTGTGGGGCCTGAAGTGCCATGAACGTCACCGATAAGTTTGCATCCCTGTTAACGCGCTTCTGTCGTTACAATTATTTTAGGGTGCTCTCCACTGTGGTGGCAGTTGATTCACCACAGCGACGTATAACAAGCATCCTGGAGTTTTCAACACTGCATGCGTACTTATTCAGTCGGGGGTGACAGTCTAGAGTGAGCACTCTTGTCATTCGCCAACTATGACGCAACATCGTTTGTTTAGCCAATTCCACGTTGACAGATGACCCGTGGGAGAGGCATTTTAGCATAACATGGTCGGCAAGACATCTGTGTAGGAAATGGACTTGTGCATATTTTGAGGCCTGTCGACTCAGTTAAGGCGCTTCGCGACCGTAATTCGCATCAATAGTAGTGAAAATGCGATTCCCATGTAGCATATCAAAAGAATAAGAAGAAGGAGCTTCAACCCTAGGTGACATAATTATTCCATATGTCGGACTTCCAATAAACCTCTCCCGGTGAGTGTTTCTTCTTCTTTTGATATGCCACCTGGGAGCCGCACTTTCACTACTACTGACATGCCACATCTATCGACCAAAACTCCCAATTAGTATTGAACGACTTTAAATTGCATGAAAACACGAAAATATTGAAAGTAATATTACACTCTTCGGAAAAACAATTTATTCGAAACAATTAGATGAAGAAAACGCCGAAAATCGTATCAAATGAGCTAGCTTCCGTTTTAGAAGAACAGGATGTCTGTACATAAAAATATATGATTAAATAAAGCAACATAAATAGAATCACAACCAAAGATGGTCTTTTGTTGGAGTTTGCACTTAAATCGCCTTAAAAAATTAATGTAATGCCAAGTATGGCGGTTAGCCAACAATGAGTATAGAACCGAAAACGATTTAATGATTCTTGGATATTTTTTCGGTTTTTGCGTTGGTCGAGATACAGATGATTGAGAAGGAAGAGATTTCGCCTGATTTCGCCTATAAGGACGTAACAGGAATAAAAGTTCTCATAAGGTGATATACTGGCAGACTGATCAGTATCTAACAAATTTGAATAGAATTAGCAGTTTTAATCATAAACGGACCTTTCGTCCGCTAAACCTCTGTGTCGTTTTTGTGTCGGTGAATCGTGTTGGGGTTCAGCGTCCTCGAAATGTCGATGAATACCTAAGGGTTTCCTGTGTCGCCAAGCAACTGCCCACAAAGATACAGTAGATTTACTAACTCATGAAATGTTAACCGAAATTCTGGAAAGCGTCTTCGACTCGAAGATATTACTTAAGTAGTGTTTGTAAGATTAACCACCGTGCAGCGTCGTCCCATAATAGTTCGGTTACAACAGGATGCCGGCTTTTGAAGGAACACCTTTCCGGCCGCTTTCAACAATCGCACTATGTAAAACTGACTGCTTAAGTAGTGTGTATTTTTCCATTGCTTTCCGATGACCTTGTAAATGTGAGGATATTTCATAGAATACATGCAAAAAATTCATTATTCCGATCATTTTATGAAAACTACGTTTCCCTTATATTTAATACTTAAAGTAAGGGTAAAAATTAGTTTCGAAAAACGTTCCTTATTCACGAATCATTTTGGACCTGACCTGCCGTTGCATTTGCATTCGCGGTTTCCAAACTACGAGCTGTATATTTTTCGCGTACGAGAAATCGCGCATTCCTCTATGATATAAAGAAGAAATCATATGGAGTTCACAAACTTTGGCAGTGGATTTGAGACATACTTTAAACTTTACAAGCAACGTTAACGAATGCAGAGACTTGATATTTTATTAACAGGCATTTCCCGGTCTTGAAAAATCTCGTGGCTAGAAACTTGTTTAAAACCTAACTATACCCTTTCTTTAAGTTTAAAATTTAAAGAAGACATACTTTCCTACCAAACGAATGAAGAAATGAATAGTTTTATGCATATACTTCATGAAATATATTTGAATTTATAGGGGAATTGGAAATCATTTGAAAAATACATACTACTTCAGCAGTTATTTTTGCACAATGCAATTTTTGGAAGCGACCGGAAAGGAGTTCGTTCAAAAGCCGGCATCCTATAACAAGTGAACTACTATGGGATTGTACTGTGCGGTGGTTAACACTACAAGCACTACTTAAGTAACCTCTTCGAGTCGAAGACGCATTCCAGATTTTCAGTCAACATTTCATTTGTAAGGACATCTATTGTAGGTTCTGCACTGTGTTTACCAAATCCTTGAAAATATAATATTTCTTAAAAGCACTTACCGAAGTAGTAACTGCCGGGACATCCTTTTTATACCACTGGCTCTTTGGGTCATGATTCTAGACACACACACACACAAACATGTAATCTAATCGCTGAAAATAATGAACGTCCATAAAAATTAACGTCTATACTTCTGTCGTCCCGTTTCATGTGTTAGGTTACATTATGCATGGGTATGCATTAACATTTAAGGTCCAGACAAGATATTGTACTCATCTTACGACCACAGAAGACGGAGATAAAAGAAAGACGAATTCATAGACTAAACTGAATCTGTACTGACTTTTGGGAAACTCTCTCGTTTCCATCATCAGAGTACTGCGCTGGTTCTAACCGCTGGCCCTAACTTATTCAGCCATGGTGCCCTACCTGCATTACAGCCCTGCTTGACACAAGTATTTTGGCTTGCTCATTGGTTGTTGGCTAGCTTCAAGCTCTCTGAGGCTGGCCATTGGATGGCTCGCTGACTTGTGTGCCCTCTGCAGCTGTCGTAGTTGCGGTTACGTCAACGTGTTCTGTGGCCCCCGCCTCGGCAGCTGGCAGACAGGTAAGTAGTTGCTGCTCGTGGGTAAGGCTTTCGGCGTCGCACGTGGAACGGTGACTAAGTATGCGACGCCATTCACGTGACTTCCGGTCAGCGCCTTCTCTTTTCTCCGCAAGCGTCGGCTTTCAGCCCCGCGTAACATTTTTCGCCCCTCCTATTGGCCCGATCTGAACTGGCCTAGGTCCTGTGCTGACTGCCCGGTAGGCAGGACGTAGGCCTATAGCTCGATTAGGTGTGTCAGTGGAGGATCAACTTTCCAGCATCAACCTGGTCATCTCATCATTGGCCCGGCCAATCACCCTCTCTTTCTCAAAGGCGGAAGTATGGCTCTGCTGTTGTATGTGAACACAGACCGTAGACAGTTTATTCTTGTGGCTGACAGGAGGCTGATGTTCGTGCCATATTGCGCTAAGGCGTTTGCCCAGTTCACCACAGTACCTCGCGCCGCAGGTTCAACATGGTATGCCGTGGACTACTGCTGATTGATGGGGTGGCGGGACATGTTTGTTACGTTGTGATTTAGGGTTTGACTCAGAGCCCCGCAGGCAGCCACAGAGCTGCTTGCAATTGAAGTAGAATGAAATTATCGACAAAGACAAGAGGTACTTAAATGGTCATTTCCGACCTATAAGGCGTCATCAGCCGGCTGTGCCTAATGCAAAAGTGGCTTTTTCAGTCTCTCTTGTCCTTTTCGGTTTTCTATTTCTGCGATACAACTAGGCGATATGTGGCCGCTGGCGGAGCTCTTGATTTACTCCCAAGACACAACGCCACGAGTGTATCCTCTAACACGATCTGTGACCAACTCTCTACTATTATATATATATGTATTTAGAACAGAGTTACAGACAAAGACAAGGGAGACTGAGATTGCCATCTCTGGCTTATTGGCCGTAGTGAGCCGGGACGAATGAGTTCCGTAACGCGACCAGTAAGAACTCCTCTATAAGAATATATACATATATAAATGTTAGAGGGGCGCTCGCCGCAGATGGGCATGGCTGGCTGACGACGGTCAATGACCCAGAAACGGCCACTCCAGTCCCCCTTGTCTTTGTCGGCAATGCATTTCTCCACCTATATAAATGGTCAGAATGGTATTCGAAAGTTGGTCCTCGACTGGCGCTCTCAACGGAGAAGTGGGTTTCCATTCCGTCGGCCATGCCAAGCGCACAAAGTCCAAATCCTTCCGGACGGGACTGACAGCACAAACGAACAGTCTGCAACCCGTCCAAGAGTTTTTAGTCTCACGGAAGCGGAAAGAGTCTGCCAGAGGTCACGTGACAGATGCGAAGCATCTGCCCATCGACGCACATAGACAGCTAAACATGATTCCAGTTCTACTTGACTTTGTCGGTACCCTTATTCCTCCTATACCATTAGCCGTTGTGCGGCCGGCTGCGTCGATCTAGTTTGAGACCCTAAAACAACGGATGGGCATGTACCCGAACTCGATCGGTGAACACACTTACAACAATATATATGGCCAGAAATGGCCATTCCAGTCTGCCTTGTCTTTGTCGGTAATGCCATTCTGCCTATATCATGCGCCGCTGTGCGGCTGATGATTGGGCTCGGAAAAGAGCCCGTAAGGCACAACGGAACGAGTGAGTTCCGTAAGAACGATTGGCAAGCGCCCCTTGTCATTATATATCTATAAAACAGCTCACTAACAGTGCAACAAGCTAGGCGCGGATAACTCTTTACGGTCGTTGCCGGTCACCAGTACGTCGGAGGCCATATTAGTTGAGGTTAATAAAAATCTCAAGTAAGCTTGTGACTCCCTCTGTTATGGGTCCTATCTCTATCATAACCACAACAGTGGGGGCCACACACTTACTTGACATGTATATGTTTGCTTGCCGGAAGAAGGTTTGTAGGAAAATCAAGGTGTTCCCTTTTCCTTGTATCATTCCTGAACGCAAACTTCCCTTTTATTGATATACCTATATGTTTTACGCGATAAAGAGAAAATGTGCCTTCCCCGACATACTAACTCATGAAATGTCAACCAAAATTTCGAAATGCGTTCTCGTTTCGAAAAGATAAATTAAGTAGTGTTGTAAAACTAATCATGATGCAGCATAAATCTATAATTATCCAGTTACCTCAGGGTGTCGGCTTTCGAAAGAACTTATTTTCGACTGCATGCAAGATCCATACTCTGCAAAATATGACTACTTATGTAGCATGCAACTTTCTCATTGATTTTCGATATCCTTGAAAATTCAATTATATTTCATGGGAACCATGTATAAAAATATTCATTCTTTTACTTATTCGGTAGAAAATCACGTCTTCTTCCAATTTCATACTCAAAAGAAGAGTATAATTCGGTTTTAAAAAAGTTTCTAATTGTGAGATTTTTTAAGACCGTTAAATCGCCGTTCATGAAACGTCATGTATCTGCAGTTACAAATGTGGCTTGTAAAGTTGACGATATTGCTCAAATCCACTGCTTAATTTTATGAACCTCATATGGTCTCCTCTTAACACCGTAGAGAAATGCATGGTTTTCCGTACACGGAAAATATACAGCTCGTAGTTTTGAAACATTGAATAGAAGTGTAACATCAGGTCAGGTTCAAAATTATTCGGGAATTAGAAATGTTTTTTAAAACCAAAGTATACTCTTCTTTTCAGCATGAAATTGAAAGAAGACGTGATTTTCTACCGAATAAGTAAAAGAATGAATATTTTTATACATGGTTCCCATGAAATATAATTGAGTTTTCAAGGGTATCGAAAATCAATGAGAAAATTGCATGCTACATAAGTAGTCATATTTTGCAGAGTATAGATCTTGCATGCAGCCGAGAATAAGTTCTTTCGAAAGCCGACACCCTGAGGTAACTGGATAATTATAGATTTATGCTGCATCATGATTAGTTTTACAACACTACTTAATTTATCTTTTCGAAACGAGAACGCATTTCGAAATTTTGGTTGACATTTCATGAGTTAGCACATCTACTGTAACTGAGAAGGTGGGGCGATCACGGGAACCATTAATTTATTGTCCTGACCTCTCGAAACCAAACAAGCTTCCATCGTTAGAGGCAGATTACGTACAGCGCTTTACAGTATTTGTGTACTTGCCGGCATGCCACTGACTTCTGGGTCGTTTGCGCGCTGTACAGAGGGTGAGTGGTTATTTTCATGACGGCAGAGGCTCACTCCCAGTCCCTCGTCGTGAAAGGTCGTCGGGGTGACGACGATCAATGACCCAGAAACGGCCATTCCAGTCCCCCTTGTCTTTACCGGCAATGCATTTCTCCATCTATGTAAATATATTCCATTCATAATCCTTCAAATAAGAAGAAGACGAAAAAAGATGGATTCATAGACCGCAATGTATTTGCCCTAACGTTTTGCAAACTTCCGTTCACGCTCCGCGTATCCCGCATTCATGCCTCGTTCGCACCTGTCCGCGAGCGTATGCACCGTGGTTGCTAAGCTGGTGTTGACATCGCTGGTGCTGTAGGGCTGGCGATCCCGTCACTGTCGTGCATTTCCGACGTGTTCTCGTGTCTTCCGGCATTCTGAGCCAACAGCTGGTCTCATAATTTTGAGGTCGTCATCAGGTGTCCCTCGCCTGCACTCATGTCCGTGGTCTCGCTCGGTTTGGGTTTGACCGTCGTTGAGTCTGGTATGACATCCCACCAACGGTCTAGCTTACCGGTCGGCATCCCTAGGGCTTGATTGTCTGCTGGAGAACTCAAACAGCGGTTGATGAGGACAGTTATGGTGTGCAAGGCTTCAAGCGTCTGCCTGAACGTTTCGTATCTCCCTCGGTCCAAGACTTTGGCGTCTCGGAATGTGAAGACAGTGTTTGAAGTTGCGCAGTGTACAGTCTTTGTATTGTTCTCTTGTGCTCATTCATACGGGTCTGGAATCTTTTACCGGGCTTTCCGATGTAGTTCGCCTGGTGGGAACTGCATTAGATTCGACGGACGGCATTTGCTGTTTCAACTCGTGACAGGAGGTTGTTGGTTTCATGACCAGACCCCTAACTGTTGCCTCGGGTCTGCGGGCGATGCAGATACCTAACGGCTACATATGACGAGCAACTGTTTCAGATGGATTTGCATTATATGGTAACGGCCGTCAGGCTTTCGGTTGAATCGCTGTTGGCTTTGTAATTAGCTTGGACCGTCTACTGCGTCCTACAATGCTGCTGGGTCCCCGCTGAAAGTGAACATTCACGGACGATAGTGGAGTTTGGCCACTTTGTTGGTGGGTTCGTTTTCAATGAGCATCAGCTCTTTTGTAGCGAGTTTGCACACAGCTGCTTCATGACATTATGGGCGGTTACTGTGGTAGTTCAAGAAATAACGTGTGTTAGTGATTTTCCTGTATAACATCGTCTTCAGACACCCGTTGGCATTAGGATGAATCAGGGCGAATAGGAATGTTTGTGGTGCCTGTCTCTATCGTGAATTGAATATCAAGGAAAACAGAGCTCTGGAGTGAGTGGGATTTCGAGCCCATCTCACGCTTGAGAACGATAAAATATCGTCCACATATCGCACCCAAAATCTTGGCTTGTAGGTTACGAATGCCAATATCTCTGACCTTCGGAGGACCGCTTCAGCGATGAAACCAGACAGTGATGAAACCATCGCATATCTTTGATTTGCCCGTATGCATTCCCTTCAAAAGAAAAGTATGTTTTGAGGCTGTTTTTTGAGCAGCTTCATAAAGCATCCTTGTTTAGGTGTCTTGTTTGCCTTGGTGCATTAAGTATCAGGAAGGCCTCCATCAGGTTTAATGGTCAAACTCTTCTAGATCGCGGCAAAGAGTGAGGTCTCGTCGAATGGTACCATAACCTCGTCAGGGTCGAGCTGCTGCCAACTGAATCTCTCCAAGAAATCGACGGATGAGCGGATTGTCGAATCAGAGCCCGAAGCGAGACAGGTCAGGCGTAGAAACGGCCATTTGGCATGGGTTGAATGTGGGTGTGCCGCGCCGAGATACGGTGGGGCAAAGTGGAACACCATCTTCGTGTTTGCCTTTGAAACTTCAGGACAACAAAAATCATGGTCCCTGTGATCGACTTATCTTCTCATAAATTTATACATTGTATATCAGGCGAAGGTGAAGAGCTTTCTAGGGAGGATAGTCCCCGTCCGTGTGGGAACCGAATAGGGTTAGAAAACTTGAGGTTTTGACAGGTTGGCTTGCAAAAAGCGGTTTTCGCATTTTAGGAACGAAGTCTCTAACCTGTAGGACAAGCCAGGCAACGGACAGAAGTTCCTGACGGTCAACCTGAGTAACCTGATGGGATTGTCTGAACAAACGTCACAATTAGTGAAGTCCTTAAACACCTCAGTATTAAACATCCAACTTTCGCACACGAATTAAAAGACATTGGAAGGGCTTCTGGAAAATTGGTTCCGCATGACTTTTCCAAGGAGGATCTTCCAGAACGCGTCATTCTTTGTGAGATTTGCCCACATGACATCTTAAGGATTCATTTTTTAACGGGGCTATAATCGGTGCTGATGGGAACTTCTAATTCAGGAACCAAATGAGGCCTTCATCTAATAAAGCGTCATACTTCTGTCAACGACTGATCTCTCGAAGTGTTAACGGAAATTCTGGAATGGGTTTTCGCATAAGAAGGAATACTTTAGTGTTGTTGTAATACCAATTGGCTTGCGGCTTAATTCCTTGATAGTCCCAATGCTCTCGGATGTTTGCTATTAAATGCACTTATTTTCAACCACCTGCAAAAACCTTGTTCATTAATTAGCATTCGTTTTTCGTTGATTTTATACACCCCCACAAATGCATATGTATTTCATAGAAAAACATAAAAATATTTCACGGATGGGAGCTAAAATGCGAATCCCAGGTTCTTGTTGTAAAGGAAATGAACACACGATCTCTGGGACAGTAGGTGTTTTAGTGGAGACCGAAAGCTCAGACTAATACACCTACTGTTCCGGAGATTGTGGGTTTATCTTCTTTTTAAAATATTTTTTTTCTGTCCTCCTTTACTAACAAATCTCCTTGTACATATTTTATACTTAAATGAGGAGTGTACCTACGTTTTAGAAAGATTTGCGATTTCCTAATACTTTTAAACCATATTTAGCGTCGCACATGTGCTAAGGGTTTTCAGTCTAGAAGTTTTATACTCTTCTTCCTAAAGAAACTCATATATGCGTCGATGTCCTTTCTACAAGCTATTAAAAGACGTCATATAGGGTTCGTGTTTTGCAACTAGTGTGCTTAACGCTGTATAATTCATAAAGAGCATTAAAAACGGACTGATTCGATTTTATTTGAATGGGCACTGCCCGACCTTAAAATATCTCATGAAAAGAAACTTCTAAAAATGAAAAATACGCTTACTACCTTATTTTTGTCGGTTATTGTATTCTGCATAGATGCGCCTTATCAAGAAACGTTAGCGGAAATTCTGTAATATGCTCTCGATTCGAAAAGCTTACCTAAGTACGATTGAAATATTATATATTTTACATTGTAATCCCGAGATATTTCAGCCACTTTAGGGTGCCGGATTTTGGACGAACTTAAATTTGGCCGCCTGCAAAGACAACACTCTGCAAAAATTTTGTATGATCTTTATCCAATTGATTTTAGATATCCCTATAAATTCAAAGATAATTGTAAGGATACACGCACAAAAATATTCTTTCTTATACCCATTTGGTTCAAAAGGCAGAACGAATGTGTCATAGGCAGTTAAAAGTTTAAGAGCGCACAGAAAATCCATGATTATTTCGCGTTTGTGCCAGTAGGCGACCGCTTTGCGTGTCATGTAGTCTTAATTGACTCTCGCCGTTGCCATTTCTGCCTGAGTACACGGCATCCAGCGCAATGTGCCGATTGATTTATGACTCGCCCGACTGCCTTGCATCGAGGAATTCTCGATTTTCCTGGAAGGGCAGACACTGACAGTGTGAGTTTTGTCTCAGGCGAAAGTGTGCGCCCTATCTAGGGGATGCAAGGTCAATTGAGACTAGCTGTTTTGTCTCTCTACTGCCAACTGATGTTCGTGAATGTGTGTGCAGGTCTTTTTCCAGTCCGACCACAAAAAACGGCATTACATGCGATCTTGTAGATGACTTCTTCCCTGAACAAATAGCCAACCCTATCTCTAGGGTGTAAGAAATGATTGTGCAAAGTTATCATAGGTTTGTGTACCACACGCACTTGGTGTTTCCTCTGTTGCCTTTCAACGACTTTGGACGTTTTCTCAGAGTCAGTTAGTGTTCGCCGGGTTTTCGGTTTGGGCGTCTGACCGAAAGAATCCAGCTTCATTTCTTCTAAATCTTGGTTCCTTATTCACCGGCGTAAAAAATTTCTAGCTTACTACTTCTAAAAAAATAATTCGAACAAATAATTAAGTTCAACTGGGTAATATTCTTCGTCAGGACAGTGTGATTTTGGTTGAAGCAAAAGGCTGTTGACGACACAAATAAATGTGTGAGAGATACGATCTTTGCTTCCGTAGTGGAAGGTGACATCTGCATGGTTTCTTTGCGGCCAACAGATATGCGCAGTGTTCGGCCCGCCGTTTGTTGTACAAAAATATGCTTCAACTGGAATTTGCTGTCAAACTCCTTTTTGAGTGTGAAATTAATCCCTCGCAGTGCTGAGTTGATGAAGACATGAAATGTTTCCCATTATTACTTTTTAACGACATAAAATAGATCTTTTAAATCTCGCAGCCAGAATGTAAGATCAACCAGCAAAAGATCGATAGCGTCGAATTTCTTCATTGTCACCTCGACAAGAAAGCCAGGCACAGGTGACCCCACGGGAGGTCGATTCAGTTGTTGATAATATACATGGTCGAATGTGTTCAAGTAAGGGAATTACGAAAGCGCCTTCGCTGTATCTTTCTACCGTCCACTGTACGGTTAGATATAGCAGTTTGAATGTGAACAAAGAAATGCAATCTTAGGAGAACCTTATCTCAGCAACCAAAATTGTAAATCTTCGTAATTCCTTTAGGAACTCTGTAGAATTACCAGTGGAAGTTTCGCATCTCCTCCTCCTCAGTGGGCGGAGCTGGAGGAATAGCTGCTTAGAAATGTCGTAGTCGGACGCGCCGACTGCATGAACTTTAGGCAGCCGATAGATCTTAACGATGGTCGGTTCAGTTTGTTGAAAAGGTTTGGCAATATCCCAAAAGAACTGGCTCGTTCCTGTAAGGCGTTTAAGCACTTCGTTAGTAAGCGACATCTGTGTCTGAGTAGGGTGCGTGGGAAGATATTGACAGGTTGATCATGAAAGTTTACTGTCAAGTTGTACCAGCTAATGGGTCAATTCACTATCGATCAGTTTTCTCAATCAATATAGCTTCACAATTCGTACTGAATTGTGCCTGTCTTTCTAGAAACACCCAGTCCTACAGTCGATTTTGGGTACAGTCATGACTCCAAATCCTCCCCCTCTGCTCGTTGGAGATATTTACAGGCATATCGTCTCAGAATGCAAGTAATTTCATTTATAGCTCTTCCATAGATGTCTGCAGACTGTCTAGTCAAAATATTCTATGTTGCCGAAGTTTACTATCTAAATTGGCATTGCAAGAGTTGAGAAAAAAGAATTGCGTAATTATTTACCGTACTAACAACACAGGTAATAGCTAAACGCTCAGACACGCATGGTAAGCAATCTTGTGCCGCTGCCTGAGGCAGCTGCAAGGGGTTCGGCTCATCTGTGGTCCCCCAGCTTTCCCATTGTGTCCTCTGGTATACAAACTTTAGTTTCAGTTAGTACGATACATAATTACGCAATTCTATACTACTGGGTGCCTGCTGGTGGTTTGTGAATATTACGCGGTTATTCCGCAGGAGCTGATGGATTTCAGTTCAAATATTCATAACAAATTTCGGACCTTGCCTGAAAGGGTCTCTTTCGGAAGATTTACTTCAATTTGGCGCATTAATTTTGTCGGAAATTAAAGAAGACAAGTTTACAAACTGTTATATTTAACCAGAGAATTTTGACAGTTGTACACTGGATAAAACTCACTTGACGCATGGCTGGCTCCAAGGATATTGCTATTAATATTAGAACATTTTGGCACATTTATGGGGTATCGAGTTCTAGGCCGAAGGATTCATGGAAGTTCTGTGTCAAGTAGTAAGAGTTACCGACTTCAGGCGTCCACTATAATGCGCATCCAAGTTTGGGGAAAAGGATGAATAACCCCTTATAAAATGCAGCTTTTGTATGCATATTTTCCATGAAATACAATTGGGCTTTTAGGGGTATGGAAAATCAATGAGGAAAATGCATGCCACTTAAGTAGTCATTTTTTGCAAAGCATGGTTTTTGTATGCTGTCGGAAGGAAAGTCGTTCGAAAGCCGACATCGTACGGTAACTGAATTTTTATAAAATTTTACTGCAGGCTGATTAGTTTTACAACTCTCCTTATTTAGTCTTTTCGAAGTGAAATCACATTTCGGGATTTCAGTTGACATTTCATGAGTTAGTCCACCTACTGTACCTCCCACCTCCCCCTCTCTAACGTCCAAAGAACTAAACAGAGCAAGAAGGACTTGAGATAGGATTAGGCTAAGTGGCCAACAAAGTAATTGTATCGTTCTATGCGTCCCATTCATATTCTGGTTCTCGAATCCATGTCAGTCAGGGTTCACAATCTGATATCATCTTGGTCGAAACTACCGTCATAATGCATTCAGAACTTCACTGCAGCCTACCTCCCTGTCCGAAGGACACCTGAAAGTTGTCAGCCAATAGATGATGAATTGCCGTTTAAATATTCATATGAACTTTCGGAGCGAGTACAAAAGGCAAAGTTCCGAAGGATTTACTCTAAATTTGTACGGTAGCTTCCGAGGGAACTAAAAAGAACAGCACGCGAGCTGAAGGTCATATACCAGTGGCCGGACCCCCTCATTTGCGTCATCCAGCGACACAAGGCGGGTGAGATGCGTGTGCCTGGGCTCTCAGCCAACACCTGTGCTGTCGGTATGGTAAATCCTCCAGGAATAGCATAGTATTTCACTTTAGAAGACTCACTGTACTCGTCGAGTTTATTATTAGGTTTTTTTTCGTTTCCTGAGCTGGTCTGTCTTCGATTACGGCGGTATTGTGTTTCCTTGACCGCAATGCGGTGAGTCATATTTCGGTCGTACAAACAGTTGATGGGGCAGTGTTACTAATGCGAAATGAAACTACAGCAGGCTGAAGTCGACAAGTTTTTGAGCGAACGGTGTATGGTCCGTACACTCTTCCAATTGCATAAAACGTCATCCAGTTTATTGGTGTAGCCAGATGTCCATATAAAAGAGCACAGCTTCGGAGAACAGTCCTCTACCCAGGCAGTTTGTAACTTAAACTGCCAGTTTAATCAGCGTGTATCTTAATGCCAACTCATAATCCCTGACGAAAGACAGCTCTACCAGCCAAATCTCACTGACGCCAATGTATAGAAACTGAGGCCAGTTATCAAACTTCATTAGAAAACCAGTGGGACATAAGAGATATTATCTGGCAGCTTAAGGAACGTTAACAATCTATGCTAGAGAAATACTTAACAAACGGTAACAGAAGCACCGATCAATTTTTTCGAGCAAGATAGCACGTGATCAAAAACATGCCTAGTGAAAACTCGTCTGCCGCCACCCCATAGATGTTACTGAAGTTGACCGCTATGCACTTCAAGTAGAGTAGCCAAACCACAACCGCCTAGACGACCGTGACGAAATCACTGGAGACCGCACCCTTTTCTTTGTAATAGAGCAAAAACATAAGAGGCAGGTACACCTGGCATCTGCTTCTAGCGCTCGTCAGCAACAATAGATTCACATGCTTCTACTTATCACAACAAACTACTTGTACTTTTGCGCTCCTCAAACCCGTCGACAAAAATTAGGCAATCGTGGGTTACCAAGGCCCACGGTTGCTAGAGTGCAGGGCGCGGTTTTGACCACTAATCACCCAAGGCAGCCAGCAAAACCTTGGCATGACTCATCGGACACGTAAAGCGAAGATTATGAAGCAAATGAGAATTCAAGTGCATAGTGTCAGCATAGCTTCTTGCACTTCAAAACTAAGTAAAATGTTACTATCGACAAAGACAAGGACGACTGGAATGGCCATTTCTGGCTTATTAGCCGTTGTCAGCCAGTCACACCCAACTCCGAAGTGTGGAACACCCGAGGCTCGCGATCTGTTAGTTAGAAGTCCACGCCTCTAACCACTGGATCACGGGCCTGTTGTCCTGTCGGTTTCGATCGGGAATATACAATGGTAGAGGGGCGCTCACCGATCGTTCTTACGGAACTCACTCGTTCCGTTGTGCCGTATGGGCTCTCTCTCGAGCCCAACCAGCAGCCGCACAACGGCGCATGATATAGGCAGAATGGCATTACCGACGAAGACAAGGGAGACTGAAATGGCCGTTTCTGGCTTATTAGTCGTCGTCAGCTACTGGGTGGGCTCGAGAGAGAGAGCCCGATAGGCGCAACGGAACGAGTGGGTTCCTTAAGAACGATCGATGAGTGCCCTTCTACCAAAATTAGGTAAGTTAATTGTTCGACCTTTACTGGCACTGCGGACAGCACTTGGCACTCCTGAGATAAACGCCCATTGCTCCCAGTTTCTGGCAATGAATGGTAACGCAATAATTACGGAATTGCCGGCTATTTGTTAAAAAGACGGAAAGTCCGACAGGAGCAGATGGACTGGAGACGTCGCTGTTCTGTTTCAATACATTTTACCACGAAATCTGTAGACAGCACCAGCCTCCTATTTCTCTGAAGCCTCCAGCCAGAACACAGTTCATCATGTGCAACCCGCGACAAGGGGCTGGTACTTACGCCTGTAAGTTTCGAGAATTCGGGAGATGTCTGATCGTCAGGGTCGTGGAAACTATAATGAAATGGGCAGAAATATTGCTCAAGCGACGTCATTAATTTTATCTGTCACTTCATTTTTAATTGATGTATCAGTATGCATAAAAATGTAAGAAATAAACCGGTCAATCGTGAGTATAATTATAAAGAACAGAGTTTCCGAAAATATGCAGCATGACGAAATTTGTTATTAAAAAGTTGTGGCAAAATTTTTTTACACGCCGTATTTTTGGCGCAATTAAACAAAAAGCTTTTCATCTCGCTACAGTACATCCCTCAGGAGAATAGAGTTCGAATGTGAAAAACGGGTGTAAATTAAACAAGTGTTAGGTATAATGTATAAGTTGATTAACGGACGGAGAAATGGGCACGACGACCGCTGCCCTTTAGGGTGGAAGTGGGAGGAGAATGCACGGGGTTATCAGGTGGAAACGAAGCCGGGCGATCGAAGAAGGCATTGCGGCAGGTGAAGAGGGCTGGTCAGTTGGGGTGGGCGAAGGAGGGTCGGTATAGGCCACCTTCATCCGGTCGACTGGTACCACTTCGGTGTTCTCACCGGGGACGATTTTGAAATTTTTGTCCGTGCGCGACAGGAATCAAAATGGTCCCTCGTAGGGCCGTTGTAGTGGCTTACGCAAACTATCTACGTGGATAAATACAAAAGGAGACGAAGAACAGAAGAACACGTTAGCAATTCAGGCTCAATATATGACTTACTTGCTGGAACGCATGAAGGTACGGGTCAGAGGTAAACCATTGTTTGGCACAACCGTTGGACATAATCTGTTGCATCTAGATCGGCAAAGCCTTGAGGTGATCCGAAAATGCCGCCGGAAGTTCGTAGGGTAGTCTCGTAAGCAAGTTCGCCAGTGGAAAACTCCAAACGGGGTTTGAGCGAGGTATGGATACCGAGCATGACCAAAGGGAAATAAGACCCCCCCTTGGTGCAGCATATGGGGCTTCTGTAGGCGGGCAAGCTATGATGTTGCGGGGTTCCGTGGCGATAACTATTGAGAGTTCTGCAAAGCATAGTGAAATTTCGTATCATCTCGTGTAATCTGGCGGTGGACGAAACAGGACTTTACAACGCGCGGCCACAACGCGATGTTACCAAACAATACGTCTGGAAGGACAAAGGTTTAAATGCTGGCTATCATGTGGCTGGTGAAATCGTTGGACATAATTAGTTGATGTCGCTTAGGGGCCAGATATTTGGGGTAGATGACTGCCGCGTTGACACTGAGAGTGAAGGGTACCGCTCGTATAGGATGAAAAGGTGAGGCAGCGGGGATAGCAAATAAGGTTTGGTTAAAATAATCTGATCAATAACAAGTAGGATGAGGATGAATCCAACTGGAAATATTCATGCACAGAAATGAAACAGAAGGCGCTATGGACGATACATGGTCGTCAATGTAGGTAATAAGCCGGTCTATCGCGAGTAGAATTAGGAAGAATAAAGTTGCCGTAAATATGCAGCGTGGAGATACTCGTCATTGAACGTTGCGTCAAAAGTTTTTACAGGTGGTATTTTTGGCTCACTAAAACAAAACGCTTTTTCATGTCACTACAAGGGTATCCGAAAACACCATAGACGAGAACATAGCCTACTGAAATAAGCCCTCGCAACAAAAATGTCTAAAGGGTGTGGGTGGAGGTTGATCAAAAAGGGAGACGACTGATCACTAAGCTAATCAAATATCAACAGGCTGGTCCCACATATCCCGCGTCGATAATGTACTGGCCACTTCACCGCACTCTGTGAACCGACGATGTTAAGCATCCTCTAAACTGCCACTTAAATAACACTCTTTGGTGTTCGCCTCATACGTAAATAATTCGTTTGGCTCAACTGTGAATAATTCGGCGGCCACGATGGAATTCGAATAGATGACAGCAAGAGCCAGGCATGAGATACCCTAGGAGTATGCTGCACGATATTTATTATTTCAGTCCCACTTAAGCAACCGTTTATAACAGAAAATACATTTCAGAATTGCGGCTAATATCTCATGAGACAAGCCATATACCGCAAATATATGCATATATGATGAAGATAGAGGGCTCGTCGGAAAAATCGAGTTGTACTCGTGAATTTTCGAGCTGGCGACACCAACCCGCCGTCAGACGAAATAAACAGTGGAGAAAGTGAACTGGTCAGAGTAAATTTGTTGGCGTGACAGGGCAGCCATTGACACGCAAGCAACTAATGTATGAATGGGGGTGGACAGATAATTGGGCTGTGATCCGTGGCGGGGAAGGTAAGGGGGAACAGTTGCGACTCCCTGTGTTGGAGGATGGGGAGGGGATGACGATTCAATGGAACTATGGGCAGTGGACTTAATGGTCGTCGATCCGGCATGCGGGCAGAGGTCAGTAAGCCCAACGTAGAGGTGTTACGGGTTGCAGTTGCGGTTCGCTGTGTCGGGGGTGTGATGGGGTGACGAAATAGTGCGATTCTACATGGCCCAGTGTGGATTAGCGGCTGTTGTTAGGTCGTGGGCACAAGTCAGTGAGTCGGACACGCAGACCTTCGTAATGAGTATCTAGATCGACATGGCGATTGATGCTTGTCGTGTTAGAGTGCCAGGCTTAGAAGAATTCACGAGCATGTTTGGTGTTCGCCATGGCAACAATTTCAGTTCCTTCCCAATTGAAGCGATGGTCGCATTCAAGGGAGTGCGCAAACACGAGTGACAAGTGGTCACGTCGGCGGATGGCTAGTTTCTGCTCGTTTATACGCGTCCCAAGTCGTCGGCCTGTATGACCAACATAGTCGCAAGTGCAGTTGGCACATGGAATGCGGTAGATGACATTGGTTTGCTGCTCTTTAGGTATAGGGTCTTTCACTCGCGATAGTGTTGCGCGCAAAGAGGACGCCGGCTTGTGGGCAATGAAGATGCCAAACCGGTTTAGTTGCCGGGCGATCGTTTCGGAAATAGCCTGCATGTAGGGCAAAGAGTAGAATTTTCGAAGTTCTGATCCCTCATTAGAACCAGTGCCTTGTGGTTGTCTCTGATGCCTGAGACAATTTTTTACAAAGCTGACCATGTATCCGTTGAGCCGGAATAACCGATAGAGGAAAGCGAGTTCTTTCTTAAGTAGAGCACCGCGGCTGCAGCAACGATTGGCCCGGTGGAAAAGGGTTCGGACACAGCGCCTTTTATGAGCCGCGGGATGGTTGCTTTCATAATTGATAATGATGTCGGCACTGGAGTCTTTTCGGTAGACGCTTGTTGCAAGGTCGTCATCACTAAGTGTTTTGATACTAACGTCTAGAAACGGGAGAATGCCTCCTGTTGCCTCTTCGCAAGTAAACTGGATAGCTGGGAAGACGCTATTCAGACTCAGATGTAGTTGCTCAAATTCGCAGGTCTTCATGATAACAAACGTATCCTCTACGTATCGGAGCCAAATTTTTGGTTTAAAGGTCCGCATAACTTCTTCTTCTAGTTGTTGTATTACGAGTTCAGCTAGTAGACCTGATATTGGCAAGCCCATTGGTGTACCCCTAATCTGTTGATAAAACTTTCCATCGAATTGGCAGTCGTTCTTAAGACGGAGTCTAAGAAGTTCTGAAATGTGTTCTATTGGAATGTTGGTTGGATTATCTTGCAGGCGTCGGATTACGCTCTCAATTGCCAGCTCATGTGGTATTTAGGAAAACAGGGCAACCACATCAAACGATAGAATACACTCGTCAGGACTTACTTTCAGGCCTTGGATCTTCTGGAGGAATACCTGAGAGTTTTTGGTGGTATATTGTGGTCCGTTGGTGAGGTGCTTCAAATGCCTGTATAACCATTTAGCGAGGTTGTAGGTGGGCGATCCAATAAGCGGCACTATGATCCTCAATGGCGCACCTTCTTTGTGCACCTTTGGGAGGCCATATGCATGGGCTATTGGGGGGTCGTTGAGAGTCATACATCTGGAGTCATCGAGGTTATGAGTTTCAGTCGAGTGAGCTCATTCACCTTCTTTTTCACAGCTGCGGCTTGCTTTTTAGTCGGGTCCTCCGCGAGTGGTGCAAAGGCTTCCCTGTCGTTAAAGACTTCGTTCGCCTTGTTGACGTAATCACTCTTTTCCATGACGACGGTCGCGCCACCTTTGTCAGCAGTCACAATCACAATACTGTGCATATATGTATATGGCATTTGGCGAGGCACTGGTGAACTTCGATTCGATGACCCAGTGGTGAATCAGCTGCGCCAGGTCTGTGAGCATGTTTTTGTTTCCTACCCCAGCCGATGGTGAGGGTTACGACTGGCTGAATGAGGGCAAACAGGTCCGAAACACTACTGCATTAAGCTGACCCCAGACTTTGTCGCTTTCCCTCCTCATTCACTCGTCATCATATGCACCAGAGCATCGTGAACAAACTCTACAACATAAGATTAACTGTGTTGAATACTGCAGAAATCAGAAGTAGTTTTGACAGCAGGGGATTGCCGACAAATACTAGGGAGACTGGACTGAGCATTTCTGGCTGATTAGCTGTCAGCAGTCAGTCATGTCCAATTTTAGGCCTGCAGCATCTCTGGCCTGGTCCCGCGCTCCTTTGTTTATTAGTCCAAGCCTATTAACCACTAAGCTGCGGCCTTGCCGTCTTGTCAATTGCGATCGGATGGATCAACTGTGGAAAAGGGCACTTACTGGCCATGTTACGGGACCTGTGTGTAAGGTTGACGCTTTGCTGCTCCATCTAGAGTCACGCGGGCAGTCGACCAGCGATTTGTGATATAACACGCCGGGACGGGCAGGTCCCATAGATCCATCGGTGGGCGCCCGCTACGATCAGTAGACCTTTGCTAGCAAAGTACTTTTTGGCGGCAGTCAGAGTCGGCGTGCGGTCATTGTCTCCTATACAGGCCGCATTGACTCACGGAATGCGTTGTTCGAGTTGCGCTGACACTGCAGGAATCATTAACTGTATTTTGCGAGGGTGTGGCCTCGAGCAAATTTAGACTTTACTGACGTCAACACTCGTTGTTTGTGCAATGCAGCGGCAGGTGTCAGTAGGTGAGCAGTCGCCAAATTCTATGTCGGCAGTACATCACGGTTTCTTTTGATTTCGTACCCTATGTAAATATGCATCCGTTACGCTCCATAACTGTTAAAGTTCGTGTGTGTGACACACTCTTGAGTCAAGTTAAGCACTGTGTCCCTTCTCATCTACAGCTGGCCTACAGGCAAAATAAGTCATTGACGTATGGAAAAAGAGAAATAGAAGGGAGGTGGATGCAGAGATACCTCCCTTCACAGCGATTCAGGGTATTTCTCGCAGTGATAAGCCGGACATGCCTGAAATTATTGTGGCGGGTTAGAAATCGTGACCTATAAATATACCGAATGACGGGATGAGTCTGTTTTCCTCAGTGCACTTTAGGCCACCTGTGTGTTTTCTGGTAAACACTCCGAATTTCTGTCTTCACGCATAGACCTTAGTATAAATTGGTTTACTCCAGGTTCGCACTTAATTTCTGAGGAAATTAAAAAGCAATAATTTTTAAACTGGAGTACCTGCCAAAAACACACGGGGAATTCTAGGGCGCCCACTGAAGAGCCGAACCCCTTAAGGCTGAGCCATGCTGCGGCAGAATATTGGCGAAACACGAGTGCCTGAGCTTTTACCTAGTACCTGTGCCGCTAGTATGGCATCTTGTGACGCTAAAATATAGTGCTAGCTGCTTTTTTAAAGTTACTGAATATAAGCGGTTTTCTAGCTGTGGCTGATGGACTTCGACGCAAATATTCATGCGTCAAATTTTGGTCTGCGCCTATAGACTTTTGTATGCACTGATTTGATCCAAGTTTGTAGTTGATTTCAGAGGAAATTAGAAAGCAACAATTGCAGCTGTATCATTCCCTGCAGTTTGCGATTCATGGAGACTTACGCAGTCCGACTTAGCCATGCCGTGGATCAGTGCGGTCCTCATTCTGATATAATTTCACAGTGAGGCAATGTGCGCGTGTCCACACGCACACACCAACTCAGACCGCCGTCCAAAAATATTTACTAACAAAGATCTACTTATGTTCTTTGCAGTAGGCAGCACGGCTAGTCCAACGTTAGTGGGGCTGGCTCACAGAGCTTGGGCGCATATGACGACAAGTGGGTGACGAAATTGCCGAACTGCGTGGGAGGGCTCCAGCCTGCTTACAGTCTCCTGTGAGAATGACCTTCTAAATGATCGATAGATGTTGCGTGCCTCTCATGTACTCCTTGTTTTGGAAACCATATGAATGCAGACACGGTGACCTCAAAGCGACGCCCACACGGCAAAAGTATAGAAACACGAAACCAGAGGACGCTCAAGGTCGAATCATATTGTCTCATTTTCAGCTAGATACTTCGACCTGACCACGATTTTCCGAAGGCGTCTGTGTGTCACACTGCATCTTCTGCGAATCTGGCAATGTTTATCCATGCTACGGGGTGACATTATTGGAGGGTAACCTAAGCGCTGCAGGTTTACTGAGATGTATGCGGTAGAGTAAGGAAATAATGGCCGTTAAACTATGCCCATCCAGCTAGAGCAATGAAATACGAAGCCTGGGGATACGTTGCCGAGAATGTTCTTTTTTACGTACTGATCTCGAATAAAGTTGCTGCAAGAGGTCTGACGCTGTACATGCCATTTCCGTATGACAGATTACTGTTGGGAAATTTCGCTGAACCCCACTTTCGGCAAATCTGTTTTGTTCTGTTATCATTCTTTTTGTTGAAGTAAGAACAGGTGGGATACTGAAACAGGAATTAGGCTCCTGAACTAGCATATGCACCACAGCAAGGAAAGAAAGTAGACTCCGATCTATAGCATGTATGTCATATGCCAGGTAGCTTCCATACGTCTGCAGTGCCAGCGTGTTTCAGCCACATTTCCTCTAAGATATAAATAAAAAGAGGCAAAGGGTTTAGATTTCAGAGCATTAAGTGAAGCATCAGTTGGGCAACAAATTAGATTTTTGCCAAAATTAAATCAAATTCTCTTGGCGCTGGCCTTAAGTTTTCCGTCTATTCCAACTGATTAAATTTTCTGTTTATTTGATCAGGCCGTAATAGCCCTGTTATACCTAAGTAACAAGAGTATATCGAGTAGATAGCGCATTTTTGTTATAAGTATATCGAGTAGGTGGCGTTTTTATCCGACGGACGTATATCAAGAAAATACAGATTTCTCGAGATACTCAAAAAACGGCGACAGCAGAGCGCACCGCATTCTTTTCAACCCCATTACCCATGGAAATACTAATGTCTGATACTAATTCGAGCTATACTGTTTCTGTCGTCCCTTCCAGTCCTTCAAAACCTCCTACTATAACCTTCATTTGAATGACAAACATATGAAAACGCAATGCACCCACAACACTTTTACAGTCGCACGAAAGAGGTGATGTGTTTTTAAAAAATAACAAAAACAAACACGTACATTGCTCTCCGAGATGTCCTAGGTTCATTTCATGGCCGTCCATCGTCGAATCAGACGCTTACCCCGTCGAAGGTTTGGGGATAAGTTTGTAATTAATCATCATGGAGGACCTACCATTGGCTAACGTTGAGTTGCTGTGCTTTGGCACTCTTTTTGTTGGAGTATCCAGCGACCTTTTAAGTCGTTTTATAAGGGATAACTCTATGTCGGCAAGGCTAACCTTGCAGCCAGCATTTCACATCCTAAAGATCTCAGCTAGAGTTGAAACTTAATGAAGATCTACCCGTGACGGTTTCGTATCCTGTAAATCTTGAAAGGCCTTCCTCCATTTCCACCTTTCCTTCCTTTTTTTCTGTGGTCGCGAGTCCGAGCCTCGGGTGTTCCACACTTCGGGGTTGGGTATAACTGGCTGACGACGGCTAATAAGCCAGAAATGGCCATTCCAGTCTCCCTTGTCTTTGTCGGTAATGTCATTCTGTCCATATCATGCACCGCTATGCGGCTGCTGGTTGGGATCGAGAGAGAGAGCCCGTAAGGCACAACAGAACGAGTGAGTTCCGTAAGAACCATCGGTGAGCGCCCCATACCGTTGTATATTGCCGATTGAAAACCGACAGGGCAACGGGCTCGTGGCCCAGTGGTTAGAGGCATGGACTTCTAACTAACAGATCGCGAGCCTCGGGTGCTCCACACTTCGGAGTTGGGTATGACTGGCTGACGACGGCTAACAAGCCAGAAATGGCCATTACAGTCTTCCTTGTCTTTGTCGGTAATGCCATTCTACCTTCTGAAGTTTACGTGGAGACTGATTACATCAGGAAAACGGACGTGGGGGTCATTTTAATAAAGTTGTCTAACGAACGGCCATCTAGACGAGCGAGGTATGAAAACTAACGAACTTATTAATGAAGGCATAGTGGCAATAGGGTAAAGGCACTAAGAACATAGACAGGATAAAGAGGGTGAAATCACACCATGCACTCCACGCTGTCGTCACGAGAAAATGGCTACAGCCCGGGGGGTGGATGGAAGAGAAAGAAAAGGTTTTCCGGGAACGAGCCCTTTTTTCTCTCATCCTACGATTCATGACCAATAATTCGCCAAAAAAAGACTTTTTTTACTTGGGACCTTGAACGTTCTGGAATATTGCGGCCGATAGGGTGTCAGTCGGGGATTGGCCGTTTCGCGTACGAGAATCCCCTCGCGAAAAAATCTCGAATGTTCGACTGACCATTGATTGGGCCGCATGCGCGAGCCAAGGCACCACACGTGCTAGATGTTGCACTACGCGCTGGTTGGCTGCTTACCCTCATGTAATTTGCGCTCAAGTCCCCGCCCCCGCGCCCACCTTGCTGTGGGGCACGCGGTGGATATCGTCGTGCGTGTGGTCAAACTGTCACCAAAATAATCAGCCTAGGTTTGGAATTAAATTAGGTAAAGACAGTTGTAAGAAATAAACGGTGAGTGGCCTATGCGATTTTTCCTCTCATGTCCGGTCCCTTTTTCAGCTTGGTCGGGGCCACTTATCCGGGGATATCATCAGTGTTTCTCTGGGGGCAGTGTTAGTCAGACTCCATGTTCCCACGCCGCCCGCATGACGGGGTCAGCGTGTTGAGGGCGGTGGAGTTGGGGTGAGAGGGGAGGGGAAGGAGAGGGGTTCCGGTGAGATTGTAAGCGCTGTCTGCATGTTAATCACGCGGAGTGTGTGTGACTGTTCTCAGGGCGGCGGGACGGCGTGCGATCACCACCTGGAGTCGGTCAGGGAAGACAGACTGCTTGTATCAACGTCTTCTGACAACAGAACGCTGGGTTCGCTAAACGAATGGCCACTGCTTTAGCTGTGGTTAGCAGCCGTTTGCGCAGGCCCTTAGATAACTTTTAAGGCTTCTTTAGCGTCGGCTTGGTGGTTCGTATCGACTAGATGTGCGGGACTAGAACTTGAAATCGATCGATTTTTCCCTCTACTTAGCCAGGCAGGAATTATTCGCCTACCCTCTTTACCAGGCGCCTCGCCGTACGGCCAATATATCCCGCTCCACAGGAGCAACTGAATGAATAAATACGCATGGATGTAGCCTGTAACGGCAGTCGGTCTTTGCTCCCCAACCGTAATAAGGGGGAGTTTGCAAAGAAAACACGTAAGTTCGCAGCGAGGAAGGCACTCGAGAGAGCATCCACCACCACCACCACCACCACCACCACCACCACCATCATCATCATCATCATCATCATCAACAGCAGCAGCAGCAGCAGCAGCAGCAGCAGCAGCAGCAGCAGCAGCAGCAGCAGCAGCAGCAGCAGCAGCAACAGCAGCAGCAGCAGCAGTAGTAATAGTAATAGTAGTAGTAGTAGTAGTAGTAGTAGTAGTAGTAGTAGTAGTAGTAGTAGTAGTAGTATTTTACTGAAATCATCTACAACTGAATGTTCTAACATTTTGTTGTACATTTTCGCGGAAAATATTATGTTAAATGTGTATATTACTGACAATATTTCAGTACCATGTCTATTTATAGTGAGATATTGCATGTACCGTTTACAATAGGGTTTTCAAAGGCATTGCCTATTACTCTTAAAATATACTGACCTATACTGACCTAAACAGTATGGACGTCCCTGCCATTCTGCCCGTCTGCTGGGGCCACCTCATGGGTCAGGTGTTTGTGCCGTCTCCTGCGGCAAAAGCACTCCCCTGATGCGGCCGCAACAGCACGAAAAAAATTACACGCGGAGCCGCCATTGTGTCGAAGCTATGATTGGTTGGCATGTGAGCTAGAACGTGGATGCGTGGACGCTAGGCTCTGGGACTGACAGTCCTCGCTGGTGAGATGACACATGTTTCTGGGTGTTGACGTGACTCAGCACAGTTTGATAGGGTGCTCGTCATATGTAGCCTGATGAGTGATCGGGCGTTGGCGTCACGATTGGAGCTCAGCTTGATTGTTTGTGCACTTGTCGACTGACAGCTAGCAGCCTGAAATGGGCCCATTAAATTGGCGCCTACAAGAACACCAGTGATAAGAATTGAGGTCCCAGGATGCACCGCCGGTCGACATCAAATTAATTGGGAAGGCTAGAACTTTCATCGTTGCCAGCTTAGATAAATTAAATTTTGGAACGAGAAGTAACCTGCCAGCCAAAAGACAGTCCAGCCGCGAGCGAGAGGCGATTAAATGTTTTTATCAGAGTGATCATCACATGAGGCAGCAGTTAAGGATGAATAGGGGGTCAGGGCATTCACCTGCGCTGACACGAACACTCTGAGAGAGCAGAATCCACAACCAGTGCAACATAATGTCGGAAAATGAGTTTCCTTTTATAATGGGGGTAGGGCAGTATCATAACTAGAGTGACTCATTCGGTTAGTTTCAAAAGGACTGGAGGGCAGGCTGTGGGACAGGCAGACTTACAACTAAAGTTAATATACCTTTTTTAGAAATATGGGCCGTTTACACAGTACGCCAAGTAGTAGGCGTCGTGGATTTTCTGAGGGGAAAGTTTTGAGACTGGTTAACACAAGTGAATGCAGGTGGAAACATGATTCGCAGGAAGCTGCTTCATAAATAATTGTTCAAGGGAGGTGAACCCCGGCCAATAGAAGAATGGAAAGGAGAGTCTCCATTAGAATGTCGAATTACCGTGAACAATTATAGAGCTCCCTAAAAAGGCATCTAATGAGGTATCGCGAAGGAAGCAGCACTTCGTGCACTGTCCAGGACGCTCTTGCTCAAGGACGATCTTGTATCGCGAGTTGTCTTTGCCCGAAAAAGAAATAAGCAGGAACTTTAGACTAGCGCATCCAGCAGCCGCTGTCTTTTTCGTGGTCAGTATTGTGTTTGTTTGTTTGTGTGTGTGTGCCCCCCAAATGGCTCATGAGGTAGGTGCGCTGGACCAACACGGGGTCATATTTGATTTTGGCAGGCGTTATAGGAGTTGTGCATCATAACCAATGCCAACAATGGGGGGGTGGCATACCCGGTTTCTGGCGTACGTCGCGAACACTGGGAACATGTTGTTGTGAATCAAAAAACTGATTATTTTTTTGTGTGGAAAAGGGGATGTGTGGTGGACCGCCAAGGTGCGGGCTCGAACGTGCCATCCACCTGCGCCCTCCCCTGTATCTGGTCTTCTTGACTCTTTCTCGACACGGGGTCCAGTGGGGAGGAGAGAGTGTGGTAGATGCTGCGCAAGTCCACTATCACTATAAACCAAACTTCTGCACAAGTCACCGTCCCTGCTTCCACCCTGCTGTGGGGCGTGCGGTGGACATCGTCGGGCGCGACGGTCGAACTGTCGCGTGTGCGTGTGTGTGTGTGTGTGTGTGTTTGTGGGATTACCGACATGGAGGAAGAAAACAAGGCACAATGGCTGCTCCTGAGTGCGGCCTCTATGGCGGCCCAACTCTAGTAGAACCCAAATCGCTCACATATTTTGTGTAAACCTCGAAACGTCTGTCGGAGCAAGCCGTGTGTGGCACGCGTTGACAGGTTGTTTAACTTTGTTAGCCACCGTACTCGAGACCGCTTCTGGTCGTCCTGAGTCTGTACTGGCATCAGGCCCAGATAGATGAGGGAAAAGAGCGTGCGGCGGATGCCGCTCTGTGGAGCGGACGGTGGACATCGTCGTCCGCGACGGCTGTCCTGTCTTACTTTTGACTTTGGGAAGGTACTTGATAAGCCATCACAGAGAAGATCTGAGGGATGGGAATTCAGGGCAGGAGGTTTACATGAATTGAGAGTCCTCTGTCCTCTAGGGTCCAGCATGGTGTTGCTAGTGCTTCTACCTCGGAATAAGCGAAGGTCGAGTATGATGCCGCGGCGGGTTTTGCTTTTGGTTAACTACTTCTTCCGATCTATGTGGACGGCTGCAGCAGGAAAATGGGTTGTGAGGCCGTCATATTCGCAGACGACGTAAAAACAAATGGGGTAAGATTAGTAGTGCTGATGGCGGAGAAATTTGCAATTTAGCATCGACAGAGTGAATGTTTGGTTGAATAAGTGACTTCTGAAGCTAAATGTGCCCGAAAGCTTGGACCGAATGGTCTCCTCAAACACCGGTATACTATTAACACAACTACATAAAATATCTGGAAGCACAGATATGTGGAAATGCAGATGATAGCCAATATGATTGCTATCAGAACGCCGTTAGAAAGTGGTCCAGAAACCAACTAACACGTTGTGTTGGATGACGGCAATAATTTTTCATAGATGTTTTGGCAGATTTTGAATAATTCTTATTGACCCAACTGTGAAAAACTCAGCGCCTCGGTGGGATTCGAACCCACACAGTAAGGGGAAGGCTTTAGTACAGCCAACGCTCTAACCACTTGAGCTACGAGGCTCCGCCGGACGACGCGAGTTTAATCACATTTGGGTCAAGTTACCCGCCCAATCTACTGCAACGTCTGAAGTCCACCAAATCTGATACAGCGAGTTGACTGCCCGAGCAGGATTTCCTAAGTAATTCACCTAGAAGCCACCAGATGACTATCAGGCTCATGTAATTCATAGGTATTTTGGCAGATTTTGAATAGTAATAATAGTAGTTTTATTGATAAGCGCTTGGTGCGCACTATCAAAGCAGGGTGAACAACTATTTAAATAACGAGACATACAAAATAACTTTAACCTAAAGTTCCGCATTAACAACTAATTGTCCGGTGGACTTTCCGGAAAAAATTTTATAAAGTAAAATATTTTTTGTGATCCTCTGGGGAAATGTCTTTTCTTAAATAATACTTGTAATAATAATGCCTGCAAATTCTAAATTGTATGCCCTTAAATATAAATGGCGAGCTCTGGGCAAAAACCCGTGCATTAGTTATGCGTTCGACATATTTTCGTAGGAACTGTTTAGAGGGATTTCCTGTGTCTTTGCGCAATCCCTTCTAGAATACGGACCGCTGGATGAACATCGTGGACGTGTGAAGATACTGACCTCCCCGAACAAGTGTAAAGCAGGATGGCGAGGATGGTCGAGAGCTTTAGTATCCATGGTACCTGAAGAGATTTCTGTTCGGAGGTCCTTGCAAGCACTTCTTTTCTTCAGACAGAAGACATTTGAGGACGGCGGTATGCTAATGAAAGAAGTTAAATTTTCGGCCGAATGCGTTCAACTTGATGTATGCATGTATGAGACAGATGGATTCGCAGACAAATTACCGTAGAAGATGAAAGAAAAGTCTAGAATTAATGAAATTGACTGTCAAAATGGACAACTGATTCAGGGCCTTCCATTGTGACCAAGTGGATGGCTTTCGTCAGACTGGCTTAAGTTGAGCCTGCAGCAGTTCGCCGCGGTTATAAACATAAACCAACGTGTATAATGTTTGATTCAAAAGTTCATGTCTATTCGGATCTGAACTTGAGCACGTGCAATGGAAGTCATAGAAACCAGGTTACAGCACATATGACGTAGACCTGTCGCAGTGCGACTCTAGCCCAGCAATGGCCGCACTGCTGGTCAACTGCCTACGTCGTCAATCATTGTTCCTGCAGTTTTCGGAAATATGTAATGTGCGGCTATTGAGTTCGGACAAGAAGTCACGCCCTCCTCGTCCTAAGTCCCAGTCTTTCGAAGAAAGACGGAGGCTCCAGAAGGGTGCCTCCAAACAGACAGGTTCCATCCCAGCCAGCGAGCTGCTGAAGGATTTTCTCCAGTCCCCCCCCAAACGACTCAACGTTCGAAATCAAAAACAGAACCAGAACCGACTGCCACTACACCCACCGACACCTGCCGTCATGCCAGGTCTGTGCTGGAAAACGTCATAAAGTCGAAAGACCTCTTGAAGGACTTCTTAGACGCGAATGGCAGGCCTGATCGGAGGTTTTTTCGCCAACGGCCGTCTACAAGGGGTTTTGTTGTAGAAGAGAACTTTTGCTCAGGACACACAGAAGCTCTTCCACAGCCGGAACAACTTAGCATCTTTGACGAATTTCCTTTCCCCGGAAACGAAACCCCATGGCAGGCCGCCAACCTTCGGACGTGGGACCGCTGTCGCCTTCTCCGCTGGATCCCGTGCTTCCGCCAATCCCACTGGACAATCTCTCCTTGCCCCAGTTTATTCTTGTAATTAGGTTTCCCCTCTTTAGTCTCTTATTGTACATAGGCGTTTAAGTACATAGAAGTTACCGAAGCCATACTTTCCTGGGCCGTCTCTCGCACTGACATTCGGGCCCGTCACAGGCCCAATGTCAACAAAGACAGCCGTAAGACTACCTATTAGCATTTGGGTCGAGATACAAACCCACCACTTTTTCTAACCTAACGTAAGATTGAAATCTGTGCCAAATTGTTTTGCGAGTATACGTCAAAACAGATTATAATTTCCAATATATTTTGACTTGGTAAACACGACGAGGTAAGCGCCGTTCTCACTTTAAATTCGGCGGACGGAATTCAGAAACGACATTTACGGTGGCAAAGAGCGCGTAAACGTCCCAGAGCCAATCAACGAAGGCCAAATTATCGATCGCCGCAGACACTGAGGCAAGGTCAACCGAAGTCTAATCGCCAGGTCATCGGTACACTGCGCTCAAACGACGGGGAATGCGAAGAGCAGAGGCCGTACTCTGGTCGAAGTGCCGACATAAGAAAGGCATGAAGGAGGGTCAGATTGCAGGTGAGAGCGATCAAGTTTACAAGGCACGATGAAAGAAAAAATTATGCCTTCCAGCACAATCCCTTGGTCTACCTTCCACAGCAAACGAACTTTGCAAAAGTGCTTGCATTTGCAGCCCTACGTTAGTTGACATGATTTGAGCCAAAGTTACTTAACACTTAATAAAGGACAGTTCACAACAGGAAACGTAATACAAACTGGATCTTAAAAATCATCTAAAGGGTGCGTGTGCAAGTAGTCACTAGACACGTTGTAGTAGATTCCAAGGAATGCCACCTACATTACTCGGTGGCCTTTCGTGTCCTGATCGACTTTGTTTACACCAGCTCTGGAGGGCACACTGGGGTTTCTAGAACCACTGGATAACGAGATAAAAATACAGCAGCCATCTAGCCGATTCATGGACAGATTCACTGCCTATACTTCGAAAGCCGATTTCCCCAAAACCTGAGTTAAGCAGGGTAATTCAAATTTGAGTCGGCCAAGCAGCTCGAGTGTAAACAGTGTTTGCTGAAAACATGCATGCTTGGAGATACGTATGTCCCGTTAGAGCTTTCCATGATTTTTGATAGTTTTGCTACAATTTTGTGGATTTTTGTTCCATTTCGTGCTATATGAATGCTAACAGATTGGAATCATCCTGAAAGAGGCTATGTCAGTTCATTTAAAAAGTCCTTTTTTGCCAAGTTAAAATCGTCATATTCAAGACATTTAACAAGTAGATCTTGACATCCCGCATTAAATATTTTTCCTCGTTTTTTTAACTAGAAGACGGCGTACCAGCGAAGGAACATTGGAGTTTCTTACGGTAGTGTCTATGTGCGATTAGTGGTTCTCGTTATATTTCAGTTCGTTCTGACACATTCACTGGTTTTTGGCCGGTTCTGCCTCCAGAAGGAATACCGAGAAAGACAGGAGATACTGGAGTGACCGTTTCCGGCTTACTAGCTATCGTCAGCCAGCCATGCCCAACTCCAGTCCTTCATGACATGGGGTCCCAATCCGGATTTCTTGATCACTAGGAGCTTTTAAGTCCAATGATCTGATAGGGACCAACGCTTCCATCGTCTTACTGTTTCAGTCAGCAGTTGGATGTTCGCTCCGACATGCAGCAGTGCCACTATGCCCGCAAATATTGGCTCCACATCAAACTTCTAAAGGGGTGACTGCAGGGTTCCAGTAGCTTTTACTGTCTCCAACAGAGACACGTTTCGGCGTAGTTGGTAAGCTGGTAACAAGCGTCTACTGACACAGGACTAACTGATTTCGTCCTGTAGTTTAAAATTGACAGTTCAGATTGTACTGCCTTCGCTTTAGGTCACCCTTTCCCCCTAAATATCAAATAAGGGACTGGGAAGACGAGAAGAGGTGAAACAGTGGTTCAGCACTCAAATAAGCGGTCCGAATGCGCAATACCACAGAGGAGAGTGTGTGTGAGGGTTAGGCACATGGATCGGTAGGGCGCAGTTGTGAGTGCCCTCACAGTAAAGGTAGGTCTTTCGCTAGACTCCGACGAGGGCTTCGAGCTAAAGTTAGGGTACATAGGGTTGGGAGGGTTAGCGTTGGAGTTAGGGGTGGGGTTTGGGCTAGGAAGCATGATCAAGTAATCCCCGGACTTTAGCGCAAAGCCACTTGAATTAGGGTGGGGCACATTATACGCGTGTCCAACCATATCAGCTTTTTGACGGGCACACTCTAGTTACCAATTTCGAACGTCATGTGGATGCCAAAGCGCTACTAAAGAAGTGTGCGTTTTTTGCACGTAATTCATCAAAAATATCTCCTAGGAAGGATGCTTAAAAGGTTCGCTTCCTCTACTTATTCTTCAGGAAGTTGCGCCGCTTTCAGAAACCTGTATTTGAGGGCTGTACAGTTATCCCTCGACCTACTGCAATGCGACTTTCGCGGATTCACTCTGTCGATCATTTTATATGCAAGCATATTTAAATACATATCGCAAATTTCTCTCTGCTTCACAGTTTTCTGTAGACAATGGGCCTTTTTTATCTCTGTCACATGCTTCCTCAGTTGGTTTTACTGCTTGATTTAAACGAATCTTACCTAATATCAGGGGGAATATAAAGAGTGCATATTGTGATCGAGGAGGGCTCACCGTACGAAGTTCATGCATATTTTGAAACGTAGATTATGTTTTCGCCTGTCGGGGGGGGGTTGCTTTACTAGGTGATTTGCTAATCCTTTAGTTTAAATGCATACGTTCCTTAAGGTGTCTACCAAATGGTCGCCAGCTTCTTCTGAAATGGTACTTGCATATAGTTGCATTAAATGATGACACATTTTGCCCCAGCTTGCGGTTAAGGTACGATACGGTTTGTCATTCCCGCACTGCAAATTTTCTCCCAAAATTAGTAAAAGAAGCAGCCCCACGATACAGAAAATAATTTAAAGAAAATTACCTAAATTAAGGCTCCGTCGGCGATGCACCAATAAACTTTGCCGATATTCTTAATAACAACTCAGTGCGTGTAAATTAAACGGGTAGGGTAGTTGAAATGGTTTACAGAACGAGTCGTGGTTTGTAGACGATAAAGGTATCACATTCGACGTGAAGGGATGCCAAAGGTTGTCCGTGCTCTGAAAACCTTTTAAAAAGTGCTTTGGAATACGGCTGCGCCACCCTACGGGAGTTAGGCCTCTTCTCTGTCTTACTGACCTCTTTCCTCGCCTGACTCCATTGCGGATTCTTCTCCATTTCATCTTCCTTACCTCTCTCCTCCTCCTCGTCCCAGCCGGGGCCTTTGTCATCCTGTAGTTTGCTCTGAAGTTCCACAACGATCCGTTTCGCAGGAGAGCTCGGTAAGGCCCTACCTCCGTGGCCACTTTCACTGAGACACGAAGGCGTCCCCGAGGATTCCGATGGCGCAAGGTTAACACGAGGCAGATGTCGCATCCCACCAGCCTGCTCTGACTCCTGTTCCTTAACCGGTTCTGCCGGGGGAGGGCTGCCTGCGGTGCCCTTCTGGTGGTCGCGCAGGCGATTAAGCGTCGCGACCAGTTTCCGCCTTTCGTTCTCATCGGAAAATCCCAGCACAAGGTATCCTGGCTGGCTGATTCGAGATCCCGCCAGACAGACTGCAAGTAATTTTCGGGGGTCGTCAATTTTGTAGTAACCCTGCAGGACGGCAACGGGAAAGACGGTAATGACGTCACTGATGATTTTCAGTTCTTTTGAAGAATAGGACAAAGTTATGCGTCTTGGGAGGGGATTGTCTCGGACACTACGCAGTATTCGTTTTGGTGCGCTGGGGTTGAACAGAGGACAGATGTCATTCTTCAGGAAACAGTAGAGAGCGCAGCCAACTAGGCCGCCTCTGATTCGCATTCTTGCGAGTGTGAGCACAGCGCGGTGGTGTGAAGGCCCGGCAGAGTGGAGGGTTCGGTTTATGTAGAAGGCCAACGGTAATGTACTATAAGGATCGACTGTGTGATTGAGTGGAAGGACAAGCGCAGGCTACTGCAGAAGAGTACAAAAGTTTCGGATTTCCATCCTGGTGGTGCTTCGTGTACTTTGCCACTGCATATTCTGATAAACAAACATAAACACCCTAAGAATAGGGAGATATGGCATACACTTGCAGTTGACTTTGTTCTGTCTGTTGAGATATTTGTTCGAAATATTTTACTTGTGTTTACGTAAATGGCTTTTAGTCGGATAAGTAAGCACTGCTCCGGATGTACTTAGTACGACTTCGGGGAAGTATGCAGAGGTGATGGAGGTCGAACTAGAAGAAAGCATCTAATTCGCTAAGTATTTTTTGATTTGGGTCAGATTTAAAGTGTTTTTGAAGTTACGTTAAGCAATACGATCGGTGTTTGAAACGTTATCAGGCCGGCAGTTCAGGAATTGGATGTCCCGATGGGCCCCTTACAAAGGTCGACATTGACATTGTCATTTGCCCATAGGTGCTATGGCAGATTACAAACGATTCACTTTGACCCAACTGTGAAAGACTCGGTGCCTCGGTTGGATTCGAACCCACGACAGCAAGGGGAGGCTTTAGTACAGCCAATACTCTGACCATCTGAGCTACGAGACTCCACAAGACGATGTGAGTTTAATCACATTTGGGTCAAGCTTTCCCGCCCAACTTACTGCAACGTCTGGAATCTACCAAATCTGAAACAGTAACCAGACAGTCCAAACAGGATTTCCTAAGTAATACGCCTAGAATCCACCAGATGACTACCAGGATCACGTAATTCATAGGCAATCATCTGATGGATTCTAGTCGTGTAAGTCAGCACTGCTTCGCATGCACTCAGTACGACTTTGGGGAAGTATGCAGAGGTGGTGAAGGTCGAACTGGAAGAAATCACCTAATTGACAAAGTATTTATTTGACTTGGAGTCAAATTTACAGATACAGTAACGTCTTGTTCCATTAGTGGACTCCACCGGTGGGAGCCTTCAAAAGGTCCATACCGACAGTGCCAGTTGTATTTGGGGAGAAAACTCGGAATATCTTCGTACAAGGCTACTCAATTGTCCCTCCCCCGCAAGCACGGGACAGGGATATGGACCTCCCAAACTACAGGCGGCCTTATGCTATATTCCACGGAAGAGAGAGGCTACTAATGTTAATGTTGAAGTTGGGGCAGAGAAATAGGTACCCCCTGAAATTTAGTGCACAGCCATCTGTATTACGCCGGGGTCCACATTCTCGTGTCTGTGCCTGTCTTCTAGCAAAAATACCAGCCACAGGCTACATATTGAAAGATAGAGCGGAGTTCACTGAGAGGCGTGCATACGAGTTTTGACATTGTATCTAGCCAATTCAGTCGCTCATTTTCAGAGACGAGTAATCGTATCCACGGCTCTCATTATCCGCTGCATATGCGCACTGCCTGGCGTGTGGGCCACCTGCTAGTCTCTCATGCGTTCTAGAAGGCGCGCAAGCCACGTGCCCCCTCGCGAACACACTCTGAAGCGCACTCATGTCCTGTGCGTAACCTATCTCATGAAATGTTGGCTGAAATTCTGAAATGCGTTTTCGATTAGGAAGGATTACTTGGTCGCAGTTGTAATACTGATTATCTTAAGGCATACTCTTATAAAATTTTGGACTCGCTAGGATGTCAGCTTTTAAATTCACTTTTGTTCCATCTCCTGTAGAAAGCGTGCTCGGTAAAAAATGACTACTTAAGTAGCATGCATTTTTCCCATTGATTTTCGATGGTGTTGGAACTTCAAATATATTTTATAGAAACTACAAACAAAAATAAGCTTTCTTTTAGTCATTCAATAGAAAATCACGTCTTCTTTATATTTTATGCTTACAGAAGGAGTATAATTAGGTTTTAAAAAAGTTTTCTAATTGCCGAATAATTTGGAGCCTAATCATCCGTTGCATTAGTGCTTAGTGATTACACTCTACAAGGTGCATGCGTTCCGCGTAAAGAAAATCCCATATTTTTCTATGTCATTAATGAGATATCATACAGGGCCCATAAAATTTTGCAATGGATGCGGACCATAATGTACATTTCATGAGAAGCAGTGGTAAACATCCAGGTACGATGCTATGTGAATGGACGTATCGCGGTCTCAAACAGTCTGATAATTAGAAACTTTTTTAAAACCTAATTATACTCCTTCTTTAAGTATAAAATATAAAGAAGACGTGATTTTCTATTGAATGACTAAAAGAAAGCGCATTTTTGTTTGTAGTTTCTATAAAATATATTTGAATTTCCAACACCATCGAAAATCATTGGGAAAAATGCATGCTACTTAAGTAGTCATTTTTTGCCGAGCACGCTTTCTACAAGAGATTCAAAAAAGTGCACTTAAAAGCTGACATCCTGCCGAGTCTAAAATGTTATAAGAGTATGCCTTAAGATAATCAGTTTTACAACCGCGACCAAGTAATCCTTCCTAATCGAAAACGCATTTCAGTATTTCAGCCAACATTTCATGAGATTGGTCACGCACTATGGGGTTTTTCAAACGAATTGCTAGGGGGAGGGGAAAGGTTTGTGGCCAAGGGCGCCAAGACAACGGTTTTCTGAGACTCCTGTTATCCAGATGCGAGCTCGTTGAAGTAACAGAGAGGGAGAGAATGAACTCACTCATCCTCACTTTCAGGTAGAGAACCTCAGTGGTCTGCTGAGTCAAAACTACGGCGAGATCGGCGGGCAGAGCACAGCAAATGATCTCATGCATCTCGTGATGTACAGCCGAATACATTCTTAGCCTTCAAACGCACTACACGTGGACAAATCAAGGGCGCCTTGATAGGTTCGTTTATCTCCAGACTTAGGGCCAAGACAGCGCTCTGAATTATGGTTGCCCGAGTCGGTGTCTGGGGCGTGCCACGCTGATTATATCCTTGCTATCAGTGGTCAGGCCAAGAATAAATACAGGGTAAGATCGCAGTTGGTAGCCAGGAATAGGGAAGCGGACGCTGACCTTAACCCTAATTCTAAACTTAACCCTAGCCTCAGACTTAAACTTTTACCGTAAACCCTGATGACAACCCTAGCTCTAACCTTAATTGAAATCGTAAACGTAGCCGTAGACCTTAGACATAGCCGTAACTGGAAAACCTAACCGTAATACTGAAACCCAATCATACGCTCAAACCCTAAGCGTAACCCGAAAGCCCATGCCTAAAAACATAACCCTAACCCGAAAATTGGAAATCATTAATCGGTACCCTAGTCCTAACCTCAAACGTATAACGGAAGCCAAATGAGTCAGATGTGATTATAGTGCCCCGCAAAAGAGCCTCAGAAAACAACTCTCCGCTACCTGTAATAAGGGTCCTGGCTACCAACTGCGATCTAACCAACTACAGTATAGAATGACTGAACTCACTCATCCTACATAACGAATTTCACGATGAAGGAGGAAATAGGGAATTCACTTCCGTTCCTAGATGTCTTTTTTCCGTCGCTACCCGGATGGCAAATGTATTGGAGGAACCGACCAGTACATAACAAATTCTGAGGCTGTAAACGCACGCTATACTGCTCAATAGAAAACCACCGAAGTACAGCGCTCGCCAAACTGGACTGAAGCGAGCGTTGAAGCCGCCAGGTAGCTAGAAGTATTCCTGGAGTGGCTGAATGGCTTGAAGGAACTGGATTGAAAGACCCGACCAGAGTAATAGGGAATAGGAAGAAGTCACGGAAATCGTGATATAATCATTCGAGTCAGTCGGAGTAAGAGCCATTCGAAGTGCCGAGTCAACGTTTCGCTATCGGCGATGTTGAAGTTAGTCATCGCTTATAGGCTTTGGTACAGGTTCTGCGGGGTTGTCTACATCGGTGAAATGAGCCGAAATCTGTAACAAAAATTAACAAACATCAGGCAGACATTTTGGGATCAGAGCAACAGTCGGGGGAGTTGATCCATGCCACAGAGGCGGGAGGTACATTGAACAGTGACTCTATTTAACTCACGGGTTGAGGCCATGATGAGACATCAGGACGGGTGAAAGTGTCCTGGCTGCCAATCAAGCGTTCAGCCGGGAGATACGTAAAGTTGCCTGCCTCCCACCTGGTCTTGAATACCTACTTGAATGAAGACGGCCACGTCGGGAGGCTGTCTGGAACACCGAGTAGCACGACTGGCGCCGAGAACGGCGAGACACAAACCAAGGTGATGTCGGGGTCTTTTTGGCTCACACAGTTAGCACTAGTGGTCCACGTGCCAGACACAGCATGCTTGCAAACCACCTGTCCCGTGCGGAGCACTCTTCAGTCTCTTAAGCTGGATGGTCACAGTGGCTCCTTGGAATGTGCGTACTCCCGTCGCCACGCAGCGAACTGCCAGTTTTCGACTAGTAGCAAACTCCCCTGCGCACCAATTGAGCATATAACTTTTAGCACATACTCGTTTTAAGTGCACTTTTAGTGAACTCCAGCGCAATGTATGAGGCCATTATTTTATGGATCACTAATCTGCTGCGCTCTCTTACCCACTGGAGGCGTATCAGTGAACTGTGTAATAATTAGAAGGTAATACTTTCCCTTTAGCACAGTAGAAAGGACATAAATATGGGCATTGGGATGATATAAATGGCCTGGTTCATAAACACCTCAGATTATTCAGTAATGATTTTTTAAAATCACTATCTCCTCGGGCACACATACAGGAAAGATATGTAAAATAAACATCAGAACGCGTCTCCTCAGGAGATATGCAGGTCTCACCAAGGACAGTTGCATTATTACTTGGCGTAGTTGGGAGGAAACTTCTGTTTGCACCTCTGTTTCTTCATCCTCGCTGAAGGCGGATAGGGGAGTAAGACGAGGAGCGACTGAGAAAAAGTGTCCTGTTGACGAAGTTACATGAGCTGATCTTACTTGCAATATCTCT